CATTCTCCCTCTTTCCATCACCCCGCCCCATTCTCCCTCTTTCCATCACCCCGCCCCATTCTCCCGCTTTCCATCACCTCGCCCCATTCTCCCGCTTTCCATCACCCCGCCCCATTCTTCTGCTTTCCATCACCCCGCCCCATTCTCCCGCTTTCCATCACCCTGCCCCATTCACCCGATTTCCATCACCCCGCCCGATTCTCCCGCTTTCCATCACCCCGCCCCATTCTCCCGCTTTATATCACCCCGCCCCATTCTCCCGCTTTCCATCATCCCGCCCCGTTCTCCCTCCTTCCATCACCCCGCCCCGTTCTCCCGCTTTTCCATCACTCCGCCCCATTCTCCCTCCTTCCATCACCCCGCCCCATTCTCCCCTCTTTCCAACACCCCGCCCCCATTCTCCCGCTTCCCATAACCCCACCCATTCTCCCGCTTTCCATCACCCCGCCACATTCTCCCACTTTCCATCACCCCGCCCCCTTCTCTCTCCTTCCATCACCCCGCCCCATTCTCCCTCCTTCCATCACCCCGCCCCATTCTCCCGCTTTCCATCAGCCCGCTCCATTCTCCCGCTTTCCATCACCCCTCCCCTTTCTCCCGCTTTCCATCACCCCGCCCCATTCTTCCACTTCCCATCATCCCGCCCCATTCCCCCGCTTTCCATCACCCCTCCCCATTCTCCCTCCCTCCATCACCCCGCCCCATTCTTCCTCCTTCCATCACCCCGCCCCATTCTCCCGCTTTCCATCACCCCGTCCCATTCTCCCTCCTTCCATCACCCCGCCCCATTCTCCTCATTCCATCACCCCGCCCCATTCTCCCGCTTTCCATCACCCCGCACCATTCTCCCGCTTCCCATAACCCCACCCCATTCTCCCGCTTTCCATCACCCCGCCACATTTTCCCACTTTCCATCACCCCGCCCCATTCTCCCGCTTTCTATCACCCGGCCCCATTCTACCGCTTTCCATCACCCCGCCCCATTCTCCCTCTTTCCATCACCCCGCCCCATTCTCCCTCTTTCCATCACCCCGCCCCATTCTCCCTCTTTCCATAACCCCGCCCCATTCTCCCGCTTTCCATCACCCCGCCCCATTCTCCCGCTTTCCAACACCTCGCCCCATTCTCCCCGCTTTCCATCACCCCGCCCCATTCTCACTCTTTCCATCACCCTGCCCCATTCTCCCTCTTTCCATCACCACGCCCCATTCTCCCGCTTTCCATCACCCCGCCCCATTCTCCCTCTTTCCATAACCTCGCCCCATTCTCCCGCTTTCCATCACCCCGCCCCATTCTCCCACTTTCCATCACCCCGCCCCGTTCTCCCGCTTTCCATCACCCCGCCCCATTCTCCCGCTTTCCATCACCCCGCCTCATTCTCCCGCTTTCCATCACCCCGGCCCATTCTCCCTCTTTCCATCACCCCGCCCCATTCTCCCGCTTTCCATCACCCCGCCCCATTCTACCGCTTTCCATCATCCCGCTCCATTGTCCCGCTTTCCATCACCCCGCCCAATTCTCCCTCTTTCCATCACCCCTCCCCATTCTCCCTTTTTCCATAACCCCGCCCCATTCTCCCGCTTTCCATCACCCGCCCCATTCTCCCGCTTTCCATCACCCCGCCCCATTCTCCCTCTTTCCATCACCCCGCCCCGTTCTCCCGCTTTCCATCACCCCGCCCCATTCTCACGCTTTCCATCACCCCGCCCCATTCTCCCTCTTACCATCACCCGCCCCATTCTCCCGCTTTCCATCACCCCGCCCCATTCTCCCTCTTTCCATAACCTCGCCCCATTCTCCCGCTTTCCATCACCCCGCCCCATTCTCCCACTTTCCATCACCCCGCCCCGTTCTCCCGCTTTCCATCACCCCGCCCCATTCTCCCGCTTTCCATCACCCCGCCTCATTCTCCCGCTTTCCATCACCCCGGCCCATTCTCCCTCTTTCCATCACCCCGCCCCATTCTCCCGCTTTCCATCACCCCGCCCCATTCTACCGCTTTCCATCATCCCGCTCCATTGTCCCGCTTTCCATCACCCCGCCCAATTCTCCCTCTTTCCATCACCCCTCCCATTCTCCCTTTTTCCATAACCCCGCCCCATTCTCCCGCTTTCCATCACCCGCCCCATTCTCCCGCTTTCCATCACCCCGCCCCATTCTCCCTCTTTCCATCACCCCGCCCCGTTCTCCCGCTTTCCATCACCCCGCCCCATTCTCACGCTTTCCATCACCCCGCCCCATTCTCCCTCTTACCATCACCCGCCCCATTCTCCCGCTTTCCATCACCCGCCCCATTCCCCCTCTATCCATCACCCCGCCCAATTCTCCCACTTTCCATCACCGCGTCCCATTCTCCGGTTTTCCATCACCCCGCCCCATTCTCTCGCTTTCCATCACCCCGCCTTATTCTCCCGCTTTCCATCACCCCGCCTCATTCTCCCGATTTCCATCACCCCGCCCCATTCTCCCGCTTTCCATCACCTCGCCCCATTCTCCCGCTTTCCATCACCCCGCCCCATTCTCCCGCTTTCCAACACCTCGCCCCATTCTCCCGCTTTCCATCACCCCGCCCCATTCTCCCTCTTTCCATCACCCCGCCCCATTCTCCCTCTTTCCATCACCCGCCACATTCTCCCGCTTTCCATCACCCCGCCCCATTCTCCCGCTTTCCATCACCCTGCCTCATTCTCCCTCTTTCCATAACCTCGCCCCATTCTCCCGCTTTCCATCACCCCGCCCCATTCTCCCTCTTTCCATCACCCCGCCCCATTCTCCCTCTTTCCATCACCCCGCCCCATTCTCCCGCTTTCCATCACCTCGCCCCATTCTCCCGCTTTCCATCACCCCGCCCCATTCTTCTGCTTTCCATCACCCCGCCCCATTCTCCCGCTTTCAATCACCCTGCCCCATTCACCCGCTTTCCATCACCCACCCCATTCTCCCGCTTTCCATCACCCCGCCCCATTCTCCCGCTTTCCATCACCCCGCCCCATTCTCCCGCTGTCCATCACCCCGCCCCATTCTCCCGCTTTCTTTCACCCCGCCCCATTCTCCCGCTTTCCATCACTCCGCCCCATTCTCCCGCTTTCCATCACCCCGACCCATTCTCCCACTTTCCATCAACCCGCCCCGTTCTCCCTCCTTCCATCACCCCGCCTCATTCTCCCTCCTTCCATCACCCCGCCCCATTCTCCCGCTTTCCATCACCCCGCCCCGTTCTCCCGCTTTCCATCACCCAGCCCCATTCTCCCGCTTTCCATCACCCCGCCCCATTTTCCCGCTTTCCATCACCCCGCCCCATTCTCCTGCTTTCCATCACCCTGCCCCAATCTCCCGCTTTCCATCACCCCACCCCATTCTCCCTCCTTCCATCACCCCGCCCCATTCTCCCGCTTTCCATCACCCCGCCCCATTCTCCCGCTTTCCATCACCCAGCCCCATTCTCCCGCTTTCCATCACCCCGCCCCATTCTCCCGCTTTCCATCACTCCGCCCCATTCTCCCGCTTTCCATCACCCCGCCCCATTCTGCCTCCTTCCATCACCCCCGCCCCATTCTCCCGCTTACCATCACCCCGCCCCATTCTCCCTCCTTCCATCACCCCGCCCCATTCTCCCTCCTTCCATCACCCCGCCCCATTCTCCCGCTTTCCATCACCCCGCCCCATTCTCCCGCTTCCCATAACCCCACCCCCTTCTCCCGCTTTCCATCACCCCGCCACATTCTCCCGCTTTCTATCACCCCGCCCCATTCTCCCTCTTTCCATCACCCCGCCCCATTCTCCCGCTTTCCATCACCCCGCCCCATTCTCCCGATTTCCATCACCCCGCCCCATTCTCCCGCTTTCCATCACCCCGCCCCATTCTCCCGCTTTCCATCATCCCGCCCCAGTCTCCCTCCTTCCATCACCCCGCCCCATTCTCCCGCTTTCCATCACTCCGCCCCATTCTCCCTCCTTCCATCACCCCGCCCCATTCTCCCTCCTTCCATCACCCCGCCCCATTCTCCCGCTTTCCATCACCCCGCCCCATTCTCCTGCTTCCCATAACCCCACCCCATTCTCCCGCTTTCCATCACCCCGCCACATTCTCCCACTTTCCATCACCCCGCCCCCTTCTCTCTCCTTCCATCACCCCGCCCCATTCTCCCTCCTTCCATCACCCCGCCCCATTCTCCCGCTTTCCATCACCCCGCCCCATTCTCCCGCTTTCCATCACCCAGCCCCATTCTCCCGCTTTCCATCACCCCGCCCCATTTTCCCGCTTTCCATCACCCCGCCCCATTCTCCCGCTTTCCATCACTCTGCCCCAATCTCCCGCTTTCCATCACCCCACCCCATTCTCCCTCCTCCCATCACCTCGCCCCATTCTCCCGCTTTCCATCACCCCGCCCCATTCTCCCGCTTTCCATCACCCAGCCCCATTCTCCCGCTTTCCATCACCCCGCCCCATTCTCCCGCTTTCCATCACCCCGCCCCATTCTCCCGCTTTCCATAACCCCGCCCCATTCTCCCTCCTTCCAGCACCCCGCCCCATTCTCCCGCTTTCCATCACCCCGCCCCATTCTCCCTCCTTCCATCACCCCGCCCCATTCTCCCTCCTTCCATCACCCCGCCCCATTCTCCCGCTTTCCATCACCCCGCCCCATTCTCCCGCTTTCCATCACCCCGCCCCATTCTCCCGCTTTCCATCATCCCGCCCCAGTCTCCCTCCTTCCATCACCCCGCCCCATTCTCCCGCTTTCCATCACTCCGCCCCATTCTCCCTCCTTCCATCACCCCGCCCCATTCTCCCTCCTTCCATCACCCCGCCCCATTCTCCCGCTTTCCATCAACCCGCCCCATTCTCCCGCTTCCCATAACCCCACCCCATTCTCCCGCTTTCCATCACCCCGCCACATTCTCCCACTTTCCATCACCCCGCCCCCTTCTCTCTCCTTCCATCACCCCGCCCCATTCTCCCTCCTTCCATCACCCCGCCCCATTCTCCCGCTTTCCATCAGCCCGCTCCATTCTCCCGCTTTCCATCACCTCTCCCCTTTCTCCCGCTTTCCATCACCCCGCCCCATTCTTCCACTTCCCATCATCACGCCCCATTCCCCCGCTTTCCATCACCCCTCCCCATTCTCCCTCCTCCCATCACCTCGCCCCATTCTCCCGCTTTCCATCACCCCGCCCCATTCTCCCGCTTTCCATCACCCAGCCCCATTCTCCCGCTTTCCATCACCCCGCCCCATTCTCCCGCTTTCCATCACCCCGCCCCATTCTCCCGCTTTCCATAACCCCGCCCCATTCTCCCTCCTTCCAGCACCCCGCCCCATTCTCCCGCTTTCCATCACCCCGCCCCATTCTCCCTCCTTCCATCACCCCGCCCCATTCTCCCTCCTTCCATCACCCCGCCCCATTCTCCCGCTTTCCATCACCCCGCCCCATTCTCCCGCTTTCCATCACCCCGCCCCATTCTCCCGCTTTCCATCATCCCGCCCCAGTCTCCCTCCTTCCATCACCCCGCCCCATTCTCCCGCTTTCCATCACTCCGCCCCATTCTCCCTCCTTCCATCACCCCGCCCCATTCTCCCTCCTTCCATCACCCCGCCCCATTCTCCCGCTTTCCATCACCCCGCCCCATTCTCCCGCTTCCCATAACCCCACCCCATTCTCCCGCTTTCCATCACCCCGCCACATTCTCCCACTTTCCATCACCCCGCCCCCTTCTCTCTCCTTCCATCACCCCGCCCCATTCTCCCTCCTTCCATCACCCCGCCCCATTCTCCCGCTTTCCATCACCCCGCCCTATTCTCCCGCTTTCCATCACCCAGCCCCATTCTCCCGCTTTCCATCACCCCGCCCCATTTTCCCGCTTTCCATCACCCCGCCCCATTCTCCCGCTTTCCATCACCCTGCCCCAATCTCCCGCTTTCCATCACCCCACCCCATTCTCCCTCCTCCCATCACCTCGCCCCATTCTCCCGCTTTCCATCACCCCGCCCCATTCTCCCGCTTTCCATCACCCAGCCCCATTCTCCCGCTTTCCATCACCCCGCCCCATTCTCCCGCTTTCCATCACCCCGCCCCATTCTCCCGCTTTCCATAACCCCGCCCCATTCTCCCTCCTTCCAGCACCCCGCCCCATTCTCCCGCTTTCCATCACCCCGCCCCATTCTCCCTCCTTCCATCACCCCGCCCCATTCTCCCGCTTTCCATCACCCCGGCCCATTCTCCCGCTTCCCATATCCCCACCCCCTTCTTCCGCTTTCCATCACCCCGCTACATTCTCCCGCTTTCTATCACCCCGCCCTATTCTCCCTCCTTCCAACACCCCGCCCCATTCTCCCGCTTTCCATCACCCCGCCCCATTCTCCCGATTTCCATCACCCCGCCCGATTCTCCCGCTTTCCATCACCCCGCCCCATTCTCCCGCATTCCATCACCCCGGCCCATTCTCCCGCTTTCCATCATCCTGCCCCATTCTCCCTCCTTCCATCACCCCGCCCCGTTCTCCCGCTTTCCATCACTCCGCCCCATTCTCCCTCCTTCCATCACCCCGCCCCATTCTCCCTCTTTCCATCACCCCGCCCCATTCTCCCGCTTTCCATCACCCTGCCCCATTCTCCCGCTTCCCATAACCCCACCCCATTCTCCCGCTTTCCATCACCCCGCCACATTCTCCCACTTTCCATCACCCCGCCCCCTTCTCTCTCCTTCCATCACCCCGCCCCATTCTCCCTCCTTCCATCACCCCGCCCCATTCTCCCGCTTTCCATCAGCCCGCTCCATTCTCCCGCTTTCCATCACCTCTCCCCTTTCTCCCGCTTTCCATCACCCCGCCCCATTCTTCCACTTCCCATCATCACGCCCCATTCCCCCGCTTTCCATCACCCCTCCCCATTCTCCCTCCCTCCATCACCCCGCCCCATTCTCTCGCTTTCCATCACCCCGCCACATTCTCCCGCTTTCCATGACCCCGCCCCATTCTTCCTCCTTCCATCACCCCGCCCCATTCTCCCGCTTTCCATCACCCCGCCCCATTCTCCCTCCTTCCATCACCCCGCCCCATTCTCCCTCATTCCAGCACCCCGCCCCATTCTCCCGCTTTCCATCACCCCGCCCCATTCTCCCGCTTCCCATAACCCCACCCCATTCTCCCGCTTTCCATCACCCCGCCACATTTTCCCACTTTCCATCACCCCGCCCCATTCTCCCGCTTTCCATCACCCCGCCCCATTCTACCGCTTTCCATCACCCTGGCCCATTCTCCCTCTTTCCATCACCCCGCCCCATTCTCCCTCTTTCCATCACCCCGCCCCATTCTCCCTCTTTCCATCACCCCGCCCCATTCTCCCTCTTTCCATAACCCCGCCCCATTCTCCCGCTTTCCATCACCCCGCCCCATTCTCCCTCTTTCCATCACCCCGCCTCGTTCTCCTGCTTTCCATCACCCTGCCCCATTCTCACGCTTTCCATCACCCCGCCCCATTCTCCTGCTTTCCATCACCCCGCCCCATTCTCCCTCTTTCCATCACCCCCGCCCCATTCTCCCGCTTTCCATCACCCCGCCCCATTCTCCCGATTTCCGTCACCCCGCCCCATTCTTCCTCTTTCCATCATCCCGCCCCATTCTTCCTCTTTCCATCTCCCCGCCCCATTCTCCCTCTTTCCATCACCCCGCCCCATTCTCCCTCTTTCCATCACCCCGCCCCATTCTCCCTCTTTCCATCACCCCGCTCCATTCTCCTGATATCCGTCACCCCGCCCCATTCTCCTTCTTTCCATCACCCCGCCCCATTCTCCCGCTTTCCATCACCCCGCCCCATTCTCCCGCTTTCCATCACCCTGCCCCATTCTCCCGCTTTCCATCACCCCGCCCCATTCTCCCGCTTTCCATCACCCCGCCCCATTCTCCTTCTTTCCATCACCCCGCCCCATTCTCCCGCTTTCCATCACCCCGCACCATTCTCCCGCTTTCCATCACCCCGCCCCATTCTCCCTCTTTCCATCACCCCCGCCCCATTCTCCCGCTTTCCATCACCCCGCCCCATTCTCCCGATTTCCGTCACCCCGCCCCATTCTTCCTCTTTCCATCATCCCGCCCCATTCTTCCTCTTTCCATCTCCCCGCCCCTTTCTCCCTCTTTCCATCACCCCGCCCCATTCTCCCTCTTTCCATCACCCCGCCCCATTCTCCCTCTTTCCATCACCCCGCTCCATTCTCCTGATATCCGTCACCCCGCCCCATTCTCCTTCTTTCCATCACCCCGCCCCATTCTCCCGCTTTCCATCACCCCGCCCCATTCTCCCGCTTTCCATCACCCCGCCCCATTCTCCCGCTTTCCATCACCCCGCCCCATTCTCCCGCTTTCCATCACCCCGCCCCATTCTCCCGCTTTCCATCACCCCGCCCCATTCTCCTTCTTTCCATCACCCCGCCCCATTCTCCCTCTTTCCATCACCCCGCCCCATTCTCCCGCTTTCCATCACCCCGCACCATTCTCCCGCTTTCCATCACCCCGCCCCATTCTCCCTCTTTCCATCACCCCGCCCCATTCTCCCGATTTCCATCACCCCGCCCCATTCTCCCGCTTTCCATCACCTCGCCCCATTCTCCCGCTTTCCATCACCCCGCCCCATTCTCCCGCTTCCCAAGACCTCGCCCCATTCTCCCGCTTTCCATCACCCCGCCCCATTCTCACTCTTTCCATCACCCGCCCCATTCTCCCTCTTTCCATCACCCCGCCCCATTCTCCCTCTTTCCTTCACCCCGCCCCATTCTCCCGCTTTCCATGTGTTACACCGGGTTTAACACACGGTAGGTTTAACACACGGTGGGTTGAACACACGGTGGGTTGAACACACGGTAGATTGAACACACGATGGGTTTAACACACGGTGGGTTGAACATACGGTGGGTTGAACACACGGTCGGTTGAACACATGGTGGGTTGAACACACGGTACGTTTAACACACAATGGGTTGAACACACGGTGGGTTGAACACACGGTGTGTTGAACACATGGTGGGTTGAACACACGGTGGGTTTAACACACAATGGGTTGAACACACGGTGGGTTGAACACACGGTGGGTTGAACACACGGTAGGTTTAACACATGGTGGGTGTAACACACGGTGGGTTGAACACACGGTAGGTTTAACACACGGTGGGTTTAACACACGGTGGGTTTAACGCACGGTGGGTTGAACACACGGTGGGTTGAACACATGGTAGGTTTAACACACTGTGGGTTTAACACACGGTGGGTTTAACACACGGTGGGTTTAACACACGGTGGGTTTAACACACGGTGGGTTTAACACACGGTGGGTTGAACACACGGTGGGTTGAACACACAGTAGGTTTAACACACGGTGGGTTGAACACACGGTGGATTGAACACACGGTGGGTTGAACACACGGTAGGTTTAACACACGGTGAGTTGAACACACGGTGGGTTGAACACACGGTAGGTTTAACACACGGTGGGTTGAACACACGGTAGGTTTAACACACGGTGGGTTGAACACACGGTGGGTTTAACACACGGTAGGTTTAACACACGGTGGGTTTAACACACGGTGGGTTTAACACACGGTGGGTTTAACACACGGTGGGTTGAATACACGGTGGGTTGAACACACGGTGGGTTGAACACGCGGTAGGTTTAACACTCGGTGGGTTGAACACACGGTGGGTTTAACTCACGGTGGGTTTAACACACGGTGGGTTCAACACACGGTAGGTTTAACACACGGTGGGTTGAACACACGGTGGGTTGAACACACGGTGGGTTGAACACACGGTGGGTTGAACACACGGTAGGGTTTAGGGCACGGTGGTTTTAACACATGGTGGGTGTAACACACGGTAGGTTGAACACACGGTAGGTTTAACACACGGTGGGTTTAACACACGGTGGGTTTAACACACGGTGGTTTTAACACACGCTCGGTTGAACACACGGTAGGTTGAACAGACGTTGGGTTTAACACACGGTGGGTTTAACACACGGTAGGTTTAACACACGGTGGGTTTAACACATGGTGGGTTTAACACACGGTGGGTTTAACACACGGTGGGTTGAATACACGGTGGGTTGAACACACGGTGGGTTGAACACGCGGTAGGTTTAACACTCGGTGGGTTGAACACACGGTGGGTTTAACTCACGGTGGGTTTAACACACGGTGGGTTCAACACACGGTAGGTTTAACACACGGTGGGTTGAACACACGGTGGGTTGAACACACGTTGGGTTGAATACACGGTGGGTTGAAAACACGGTGTGTTGAACACACGGTGGGTTTAACACACAGTGGGTTGAACACACGGTGGGTTTAACACACGGTAGGTTTAACACACGGTGGGTTGAACACACGGTGGGTTGAACACACGGTAGATTGAACACACGATGGGTTTAACACACGGTGGGTTGAACATACGGTGGGTTGAACACACGGTGGGTTGAACACATGGTGGGTTGAACACACGGTAGGTTTAACATACGGTGGGTTGAACACACGGTGGGTTGAACACACGGTGTGTTGAACACATGGTGGGTTGAACACACGGTGGGTTTAACACACAATGGGTTGAACACACGGTGGGTTGAACACACGGTGGGTTGAACACACGGTAGGTTTAACACATGGTGGGTGTAACACACGGTGGGTTGAACACACGGGCGGGGTGATGGAAAGCGGGAGAATGGGGCGAGGTGATGGAAAGCGGGAGAATGGGGTGGGGTGTTGGAAAGCGGGAGAATTGGGCGGGGTGATGAAAAGCGGGAGAATGGGGCGGGGTGATGGAAAGCGGGAGAATGGGGCGGGGTGATGGAAAGCGGGAGAATGGGGCGGGTGATAGAAAGCGGGTGAATGGGGAGGGGTGGTGGAAAGCGGGAGAATGAGGCGGGGTGATGGAAAGCAGAAGAATGGGGCGGGGTGATGGAAAGCTGGAGAATGGGGCGAGGTGATGGAATGCGGGGGAATGGGGCGGGGTGATGGAAGGAGGTAGAATGAGGCGGGGTGATGGAAGGAGGGAGAATGGGGCAGGGTGATGGAAAGCGGGAGAATGGGGCGGGGTGATGGAAAGCGGGAAAATGGGGTGGGCTGATGGAAAGCGGGAGAATGGGGCAGGGTGATGGAAAGCGGGAGAATGGGGCGGGGTGATGGAAAGCGGGAGAATGGGGCGGGGTGATGGAAAGCGGGAGAATGGGGCGGGCCGATGGAAAGTGGGAGAATGGGGCGGGGTGATGGAAGGAGGGAGAATGGGGCGGGGTGATGGAAGGAAGGAGAATAGGGCGGGTGATGAAAGGAGGGAGAATGGGGCGGGGTTATGGAAAGCGGGAGAATGGGGCGGGGTGATGGAAAGCGGGACAATGGGGCGGGGAGATGGAAGGAGGGAGAATGGGGCGGGGTGATGGAAAGTGGGAGATTGGGGCAGGGTGATGGAAAGCGGGAGAATGGGGCGGGGTGATGGAAAGCGGGAAAATGGGGCGGGGTGATGGAAAGCGCGAGAATGGGGCTGGGTGATGGAAAGCAGGAGAATGGGGCGGGGTGATGGAAAGCGGGAGAATGGGGCGGGGTGCTGGAAGGAGGGAGAATGAGGCGGGGTGATGGAAGGAGGGAGAATGGGGCGGGTTGATGGATAGCGGGAGAATGGGGCGGGGTGATGGAAAGCGGGAGAATGGGGCGGAGTGATGGAAAGCGGGAGAATGGGGCGGGGTGATGGAAAGCGGGAGAATGGGGCGGGGTGATGGAAAGCGGGAGAACGGGGCGGGGTGTTGGAAAGCGGGAGAATGGGGCGGGGTGATGAAAAGAGGGAGGATGGGGCGGGGTGATGGAAAGCGGGAGAACGGGGCGAGGTGATGGAAAGCGGGAGAATGGGACGGGGTGATGGAAAGCGGGAGAACGGGGCGGGGTGTTGGAAAGCGGGAGAATGGGGCGGGGTGATGAAAAGCGGGAGGATGGGGCGGGGTGATGGAAAGCGGGAGAATGGGGCGGGGTGATTAAAAGCGGGAGAATGGGGCGGGGTGATGGAAAGCAGAAGAATGGGGCGAGGTGATGGAAAGTGGGAGAATGGGGCGAGGTGATGGAAAGCGGGAGAATGGGGCGGGTGATGGAAAGCGGGAGAATGGGGCGGGGTGATGGAAGGAGGGAGAATGGGGAGGGGTGATGGAAAGCGGGGGAATGGGGCGGGATGATGGGAAGCGGGAGAATAGGGCGGGGTGATGGAAAGCGGGAGAATGGGGCGGGGTGATGGAAAGCGGGAGAATGGGGCGGGGAGATGGAAAGCGGGAGAATGGGGCGGGCTGATAGAAAGTAGGAGAATGGGGCAGGGTGATGGAAGGAGGGAGAATGGGGCGGGGTGATGGAAGGAGGGAGAAGGGGGCAAGGTGATGGAAAGCGGGAGAATGGGGTGGGGTGATGGAAAGCGAGAGAATGGGGCGGGGTGATGGAAAGCGGGAGAATGGGGAGGGCTGATAGAAAGCGGGAGAATGGGGCGGGGTGATCAAAGGAGGGAGAATGGGGCGGGGTGATGGAAGGAGGGAGAATGGGGCGGGGTGATGGAAGGAGGGAGAATGGTGCGGGGTGATGGAAAGTGGGAGAATGTGGCGGGTTCATGGAAAGCGGGAGAATGGGGCGGGGTTATGGAAAGCAGGAGAATGGGGCGGGGTGACGGAAAGCGGGAGAATGGGGCAGGGTGATGGAAGGAGGGAGAATGGGGCGGGGTGATGGAAAGCGGGAGAATGGGGCGTGGTGATGGAAAGCTGGAGAATGGGGCGGGGTGATGGAAAGCGGGAGAATGGGGCGGGGTGATGGAAAGTGGGAGAATGGGGCGGGGTGATGGAAGGAGGTAGAATGAGGCAGGGTGATGGAAGGAGAAGAATGGGGCGGGATGATGGAAAGCGGGAGAATGGGGCGGGGTGATGGAAAGCGGGAGAATGGGGCGGAGTGATGGAAAGCGGGAGAATGGGGCGGGGTGATGGAAAGCGGGAGACTGGGGCGGGGTGATGGAAAGCGGGAGAATGGGGCGGGGTGATGGAAAGCGGGAGAATGGGGCGGGGTGATGGAAAGCGGGAGAATGGGGCGGGGTGATGGAAGGAGGGAGAATGGGGCGGGGTGATGGAAGGAGGGAGAATGGGGCGGGGCGATCGAAAGCGGGAGAATGGGGCGGGGTGATGGAAAGCGGGAGAATGGGGCGGGGTGATGGAAAGCGGGAGAATGGGGCGGGGAGATGGAAAGCGGGAGAATGGGGCGGGGAGATGGAAAGTGGGAGAATGGGGCGGGGTGATGGAAAGCGGGACAATGGGGCGGGGTGATGGAAAGCGGGACAATGGGGCGGGGTGATGGAAAGCGGGAGAATGGGGTGGGGTGATAGAAAGCGGGAGAATGGGGTGGGGTGATGGAAAGCGGGAGAATGGGGCGGGGTGATGGAAGGAGGGAGAGGTGATGGAAAGCGGGGGAATGGGGCGGGATGATGGGAAGCGGGAGAATGAGGCGGGGTGATGGAAGGAGGGAGAATGGGGCGGGGTGATGGAAAGCGGGAGAATGGGGCGGGGTGATGGAAAGCGGGAGAATGGGGCGGAGTGATGGAAAGCGGGAGAATGGGGCGGGGTGATGGAAAGCGGGAGAATGGGGCGAGGTGATGGAAAGCGGGAGAATGGGGTGGGGTGTTGGAAAGCGGGAGAATTGGGCGGGGTGATGAAAAGCGGGAGAATGGGGCGGGGTGATGGAAAGCGGGAGAATGGGGCGGGGTGATGGAAAGCGGGAGAATGGGGCGGGTGATAGAAAGCGGGTGAATGGGGCGGGGTAGTGGAAAGCGGGAGAATGAGGCGGGGTGATGGAAAGCAGAAGAATGGGGCGGGGTGATGGAAAGCGGGAGAATGGGGCGAGGTGATGGAAAGCGGGGGAATGGGGCGGGGTGATGGAAGGAGGTAGAATGAGGCGGGTTGATGGAAGGAGGGAGAATGCGGCAGGGTGATGGAAAGCGGGAAAATGGGGCGGGGTGATGGAAAGCGGGAAAATGGGGTGGGCTGATGGAAAGCGGGAGAATGGGGCAGGGTGATGGAAAGCGGGAGAATGGGGCGGGGTGATGGAAAGCGGGAGGATGGGGCGGGGTGATGGAAAGCGGGAGAATGGGGCGGGCCGATGGAAAGTGGGAGAATGGGGCGGGGTGATGGAAGGAGGGAGAATGGGGCGGGGTGATGGAAGGAAGGAGAATGGGGCGGGTGATGAAAGGAGGGAGAATGGGGCGGGGTTATGGAAAGCGGGAGAATGGGGCGGGGTGATGGAAAGCGGGAGAATGGGGCGGGGAGATGGAAGGAGGGAGAATGGGGCGGGGTGATGGAAAGTGGGAGATTGGGGCAGGGTGATAGAAAGCGGGAGAATGGGGCGGGGTGATGGAAAGCGGGAAAATGGGGCGGGGTGATGGAAAGCGCGAGAATGGGGCTGGGTGATGGAAAGCAGGAGAATATGGCGGGGTGATGGAAAGCGGGAGAATGGGGCGGGGTGATGGAAGGAGGGAGAATGAGGCGGGGTGATGGAAGGAGGGAGAATGGGGCGGGTTGATGGATAGCGGGAGAATGGGGCGGGGTGATGGAAAGCGGGAGAATGGGGCGGAGTGATGGAAAGCGGGAGAATGGGGCGGGGTGATGGAAAGCGGGAGAATGGGGCGGGGTGATGGAAAGCGGGAGAACGGGGCGGGGTGTTGGAAAGCGGGAGAATGGGGCGGGGTGATGAAAAGAGGGAGGATGGGGCGGGGTGATGGAAAGCGGGAGAACGGGGCGGGGTGATGGAAAGCGGGAGAATGGGACGGGGTGATGGAAAGCGGGAGAACGGGGCGGGGTGTTGGAAAGCGGGAGAATGGGGCGGGGTGATGAAAAGCGGGAGGATGGGGCGGGGTGATGGAAAGCGGGAGAATGGGGCGGGGTGATTAAAAGCGGGAGAATGGGGCGGGGTGATGGAAAGCAGAAGAATGGGGCGAGGTGATGGAAAGCGGGAGAATGGGGCGAGGTGATGGAAAGCGGGAGAATGGGGCGGGTGATGGAAAGCGGGAGAATGGGGCGGGGTGATGGAAGGAGGGAGAATGGGGAGGGGTGATGGAAAGCGGGGGAATGGGGCGGGATGATGGGAAGCGGGAGAATAGGGCGGGGTGATGGAAAGCGGGAGAATGGGGCTGGGTGATGGAAAGCGGGAGAATGGGGCGGGGAGATGGAAAGCGGGAGAATGGGGCGGGCTGATAGAAAGTAGGAGAATGGGGCGGGGTGATGGAAGGAGGGAGAATGGGGCGGGGTGATGGAAGGAGGGAGAAGGGGGCGGGGTGATGGAAAGCGGGAGAATGGGGTGGGGTGATGGAAAGCGAGAGAATGGGGCGGGGTGATGGAAAGCGGGAGAATGGGGAGGGCTGATAGAAAGCGGGAGAATGGGGCGGGGTGATCAAAGGAGGGAGAATGGGGCGGGGTGATGGAAGGAGGGAGAATGGGGCGGGGTGATGGAAGGAGGGAGAATGGTGCGGGGTGATGGAAAGTGGGAGAATGTGGCGGGTTGATGGAAAGCTGGAGAATGGGGCGGGGTTATGGAAAGCGGGAGAATGGGGCGGGGTGACGGAAAGCGGGAGAATGGGGCAGGGTGATGGAAGGAGGGAGAATGGGGCGGGGTGATGGAAAGCGGGAGAATGGGGCGTGGTGATGGAAAGCGGGAGAATGGGGCGGGGTGATGGAAAGCGGGAGAATGGGGCGGGGTGATGGAAAGTGGGAGAATGGGGCGGGGTGATGGAAGGAGGTAGAATGAGGCAGGGTGATGGAAGGAGAAGAATGGGGCGGGGTGATGGAAAGCGGGAGAATGGGGCGGGGTGATGGAAAGCGGGAGAATGGGGCGGAGTGATGGAAAGCGGGAGAATGGGGCGGGGTGATGGAAAGCGGGAGAATGGGGCGGGGTGATGGAAAGCAGGAGAATGGAGCGGGGTGATGGAAAGCGGGAGCATAGGGCGGTGTGATGGAAAGCGGGTAAATGGGGTGGGCTGATGAAAAGCGGGAGAATGGGGCGGGGTGATGGAAGGAGGGAGAATGGGGCGGGGTGATGGAAAGCGGGAGAATGGGGCGGGGTGATGGAAAGCGGGAGAATGGGGCGGGGTGATGAAAAGCGGGAGATTGGGGCGGGGTGATGGAAAGCGGGAGCATGGGGCGGGGTGATGGAAGGAGGTAGAATGAGGCGGGGTGATGGAAGGAGGGAGAATGGGGCGGGGTGATGGAAAGTGGGAGAATGGGGCAGGGTGATGGAAACCGGGAGAATGGGGTGGGGTAATGGAATGCGGGAGAATGGGGCGGGTGATGGAAAGCGGGAGAATGGGGCGGGGTGATGGAAGGAGGGAGAATGGGGAGGGGTGATGGAAAGCGGGGGAATGGGGCGGGATGATGGGAAGCGGGAGAATGGGGCGGGGTGATGGAAAGCGGGAGAATGGGGCGGGGTGATGGAAAGCGAGAGAATGGGGCGGGAAGATGGAAAGCGGGAGAAAGGGGCGGGGTGATGGAAAGCGGGAGAATGGGGCGGGCTGATAGAAAGTGGGAGAATGGGGCGGGGTGATGGAAGGAGGGAGAATGGGGCGGGGTGATGGAAGGAGGGAGAAGGGGGCGGGGTTATGGAAAGCGGGAGAATGGGGTGGGGTGATGAATAGCGAGAGAATAGGGCGGGGTGATGGAAAGCGGGAGAATGGGGAGGGCTGATGGAAAGCGGGAGAATGGGGCGGGGTGATCAAAGGAGGGAGAATGGGGCGGGGTGATGGAAGGAGGGAGAATGGGGCGGGGTGATGGAAGGAGGGAGAATGGGGCGGGGTGATGGAAAGTGGGAGAATGTGGCGGGGTGATGGAAAGCGGGAGAATGGGGCGGGGTTATGGAAAGCGGGAGAATGGGGCGGGGTGACAGAAAGCGGGAGAATGGGGCAGGGTGATGGAAGGAGGTAGAATGAGGCGGGGTGATGGAAGGAGAAAAATGGGGCGGGGTGATGGAAATCGGGAGAATGGGGCGGGGTGATGGACAGCAGGAGAATGGGGCGGAGTGATGGAGAGCAGGAGAATGGGGCGGGGTGATGGAAAGCGGGAGAATGGGGCGTGGTGATGGAAAGTGGAAGAATGGGGCGGGGTGATGGGAGAATGGGGCGGGGTGATGGAAAGCGGGAGAATGGGGCGGGGTGATGGAAAGCGAGAGAATGGGGCGGGGTGATAGAAGGAGGGAGATTGGGAAGGGGTGATGGAAAGTGGGGGAATAGGGCGGGATGATGGGAAGCGGAAGAATGGGGCGGGGTAATGGAAAGCGGGAGAATGGGGCGGGGTGATGGAGAGCGGGAGAATGGGGCGGGGAGATGGAAAGCGGGAGAAAGGGGAGGGGTGATGGAAAGCGGGAGAATGGGGCGGGCTGACGGAAAGAGGGAGAATGGGGCGGGGTGATGGAAGGAGGGAGAATGGGGCGGGGTGATGGAAGGAGAGAGAAGGGGGCGGGGTGATGGAAAGTGGAAGATTGTGGCGGGGTGATGGAAAGCTGGAGAATGGGGTGGGGTTATGGGAAGCGGGAGAATGGGGCGGGGTGATGGAAAGCGGGAGAATGGGGCGGGGTGATGGAAGGAGGGAGAATGGGGCGGGGTGATGGAAGGAGGGAGAATGGGGCGGGGTGATGGAAAGCGGGAGAATGGGGCGGGGTGATGGAAGGAGGGAGAATGGGGAGGGGTGATGGAAAGCGGGGGAATGGGGTGGGATGATGGGAAGCGGGAGAATGGGGCGGGGTGATGGAAAGCGAGAGAATGGGGCGGGGTGATGGAAAGCGGGAGAAAGGGGCGGGGTGATGGAAAGCGGGAGAATGGGGCGGGGTGATGGAAAGCGGGAGAATGGGGCGGGGTGATGGAAGGAGGGAGAATGGGGCGGGGTGATGGAAGGAGGGAGAAGGGGGCGGGGTGATGGAAAGCGGGAGATTGGGGCGGGGTGATGGAAAGAGGGAGAATGGGGAGGGGTGATGGAAGGAGGGAGAATGGGGCGGGGTGATGGAAAGCGGGAGAATGGGGCGAGTTGATGGGAAGCGGGAGAATGGGGTGGGGTGATGGAAAGCGGTAGAATGGGGCGGGGTGATGGAAAGCGGGAAAAAGGGGCGCGGTGATGGAAAGCGGGAGAATGGGGCGGGCTGATGGAAAGCGGGAGAATAGGGCAGGGTGATGGAAGGAGGGAGAATGGGGCGGGGTGATGGGAGGAGGGAGAAGGGGGCGGGGTGATGGAAAGCGGGAGAATGGGGCCGGGTGATGGAAAGCGGGAGAATGGGGCGGGGTGATGGAAGGAGGGAGAATGGGGCGGGGTGATGGAAAAGCGGGAGAATGGGGCGGGGTGATGGAAAGCGGGAGAATGGGGCAGGGTGATGGAAAGCGGGAGAATGGGGCGGGGTGAAGGAAGGAGAGAGAATGGGGCGGGGTGATGGAAGGAGGAAGAAGGGGTCGGGGTGATGGAAAGCGAGAGAATGGGCTGGGGTGTTGGAAAGCGGGAGAATGGGGCGGGGTGATGAAAAGCGGGAGAATGGGGCGGGGTGATGGAAAGCGGGAGAATGGGGCGGGTTGATTGAAAGCGGGAGAATGGGGCGGGTGATGGAAAGCGGGTGAATGGGGCAGGGTGATAGAAAGCGGGAGAATGGGGCGGGGTGATGGAAAGCAGAAGAATGGGGCGGGGTGATGGAAAGCGGGAGAATGGGGCGAGGTGATAGAAAGCGGGAGAATGGGGGGGTGATGGAAAGTGGGAGAATGGGGCGGGGTGATGGAAGGAGGGAGAATGGGGAGGGGTGATGGAAAGTGGGGGAATGGGGCGGGATGATGGGAAGCGGAAGAATGGGGCGGGGTGATGGAAAGCGAAAGAATGGGGCGGTGTGATGGAAAGCGGGAGAATGGGGCGGGGAGATGGAAAGCGGGAGAAAGGGGCGGGTTGATGGAAAGCGGGAGAATGGGGCGGGCTGATGGAAAGCGGGAGAATGGGGCGGGGTGATGGAAGGAGGGAGAATGGGGCGGGGTGATGGAAGGAGAGAGAAGGGGGCGGGGTGATGGAAAGTCGGAAAATGTGGCGGGGTGATGGAAAGCGGGAGAATGGGGTGGGGTTATGGGAAGCGGGAGAATGGGGCGGGGTGATGGAAAGCGGGAGAATGGAGCGGGGTGATGGAAAGCGGGAGAATGGGGCGGGTGATGGAAGGAGGAAGAAGGGGGCGGGGTGATGGAAAGCGAGAGAATGGGCTGGGGTGTTGGAAAGCGGGAGAATGGGGCGGGGTGATGAAAAGCGGGAGAATGGGGCGGGGTGATGGAAAGCGGGAGAATGGGGCGGGATGATGGAAAGCGGGAGAATGGGGCGGGTGATGGAAAGCGGGTGCATGGGGCAGGGTGATGGAAAGCGGGAGAATGGGGCGGGGTGATGGAAAGCAGAAGAATGGGGCGGGGTGATGGAAAGCGGGAGAATGGGGCGAGGTGATGGAAAGCGGGAGATTGGGGCGGGTGATGGAAAGTGGGAGAATGGGGCGGGGTGATGGAAGGAGGGAGAATGGGGAGGGGTGATGGAAAGCGGGGGAATGGGGCGGGATGATGGGAAGCGGAAGAATGGGGCGGGGTGATGGAAAGCGGGAGAATGGGGCGGTGTGATGGAAAGCGGGAGAATGGGGCGGGGAGATGGAAAGCGGGAGAAAGCGGCAGGGTGATGGAAAGCGGGAGAATGGGGCGGGCTGATGGAAAGCGGGAGAATGGGGCGGGGTGATGGAAGGAGGGAGAATGGGGCGGGGTGATGGAAGGAGAGAGAAGGGGGCGGGGTGATGGAAAGTGGGAAAATGTGGCGGGGTGATGGAAAGCGGGAGAATGGGGTGGGGTTATGGGAAGCGGGAGAATGGTGCGGGGTGATGGAAAGCGGGAGAATGGAGCGGGGTGATGGAATGAGGGAGAATGGGGCGGGGTGATGGAAGGAGGGAGAATGGGGCGGGGTGATAGAAAGCGGGAGAATGGGACAGGGTGATGGAAGGAGGGAGAATGGGGCGGGGTGATGGAAAAAGGGAGAATGGGGCGGGGTGATGGAAAGCAGGAGAATGGGGCGGGGTGATGGAAAGCGAGAGAATGGGGCGGGGTGATGGAAGGAGGGAGAATGGGGAGGGGTGATGGAAAGCGGGGGAATGGGGCGGGATGATGGGAAGCCGAAGAATGGGGCGGGGTGATGGAAAGCGGGAGAATGGGGCGGGGTGATGGAAAGCGGGAGAATGGGGCGGGGAGATGGAAAGCGGGAGAAAGGGGAGGGGTGATGGAAAGCGGGAGAATGGGGCGGGCTGATGAAAAGCGGGAGAATGGGGCGGGGTGATGGAAGGAGGGAGAATGGGGCGGGGTGATGGAAGGAGAGTGAAGGGGGCGGGGTGATGGAAAATGGGAGAATGTGGCGGGGTGATGGAAAGCGGGAGAATGGGGTGGGGTTATGGGAAGCGGCAGAATGGGGCGGGGTGGTGGAAAGCGGGAGAATGGGGCGGGGTGATGGAAGGAGGGAGAATGGGGCGGGTAGATGGAAAGCGGGAGAATGGGGCGGGGTGATGGAAAGCGGGAGAATGGGGCGGGGTGACGGAAATCGGGAGAATGGGGCGGGGTGATGGAAAGCGGGAGAATGGGGCGGGTGATGGAAGGAGGGAGACTGGGGCGGGGTGATAGAAAGCGGGAAAATGTGGCGGGTTGATGGAAAGCGGGAGAATGGGGTGGGGTTATGGGAAGCGGGAGAATGGGGCGGGGTGATGGAAAGCGGTAGAATGGGGCGGGGTGATGGAAGGAGGGAGAATGGGGCGGGGTGATGGAAGGAGGGAGAATGGGGCGGGGTGATGGAAGGAGGGAGAATGGGGCGGGGTGATGGAAAGCGGGAGAATGGGGCGGGGTGATGGAAAGCGGGAGAATGGGGCAGGGTGATGGAAAGCGGGAGAATGGGGCTGGGTGATGGAAAGCGGGAGAATGGGGCGGGGTGATGGAAAGCGGGAGAATGGGGCGGGGTGATGGAAGGAGGGAGAATGGGGCGGGGTGATGGAAAGCGGGAGATTGGGGCAGGGTGATGGAAAGCGGGAGAATGGGGCGGGGTGATGGAAGGAGGGAGAATGGGGCGGGGTGATAGAAAGCGGGAAAATGTGGCGGGGTGATGGAAAGCGGGAGAATGGGGTGGGGTTATGGGAAGCGGGAGAAAGGGGCGGGGTGATGGAAAGCGGGAGAATGGGGCGGGGTGATGGAAGGAGGGAGAATGGGGCGGGGTGATGGAAGGAGGGAGAATGGGGCGGGGTGATGGAAAGCGGGAGAATGGGGCGGGGTGATGGAAGGAGGGAGAATGGGGCGGGGTGATGGAAAGCGGGAGAATGGGGCGGGGTGATGGAAAGCGGGAGAATGGGGCGGGGTGATGGAAAGCGGGAGAATGGGGCTGGGTGATGGAAAGCGGGAGAATGGGGCGAGGTGATGGAAAGCGGGAGAATGGGGCGGGGTGATGAAAGGAGGGAGAATGGGGCGGGTTGATGGAAAGCGGGAGATTGGGGCAGGGTGATGGAAAGCGGGAGAATGGGGCGGGGTGATGGAAAGCGGAAAAATGGGGCGGGGTGATGGAAAGCGGGAGAATGGGGCTAAGTGATGGAAAGCGGGAGAATGGGGCGGGGTGATGGAAAGCGGGAGAATGGGGCGGGGTGATGGAAGGAGGGAGAATGAGGCGGGGTGATGGAAGGAGGGAGAATGGGGCGGGGTGATGGAAAGTGGGAGAATGGGTCGGGGTGATGGAAAGCGGGAGAATGGGGCGGAGTGATGGAAAGCGGGAGAATGGGGCGGGGTGATGGAAAGCGGGAGAATGGGGCGGGGTGATGGAAAGTGGGAGAATGGGGCGGGGTGATGGAAGGAGGGAGAATGGGGAGGGATGATGGAAAGCGGGGGAATGGGGCGGGATGATGGGAAGCCGAAGAATGGGGCGGGGTGATGGAAAGCGGGAGAATGGGGCGGGGTGATGGAAAGCGGGAGAATGGGGCGGGGAGATGGAAAGCGGGAGAAAGGGGAGGGGTGATGGAAAGCGGGAGAATGGGGCGGTCTGATGAAAAGCGGGAGAATGGGGCGGGGTGATGGAGGGAGGGAGAATGGGGCGGGGTGATGGAAGGAGAGTGAAGGGGGCGGGGTGATGGAAAATGGGAGAATGTGGCGAGGTGATGGAAAGCGGGAGAATGGGGTGGGGTTATGGGAAGCGGCAGAATGGGGCGGGGTGGTGGAAAGCGGGAGAATGGGGCGGGGTGATGGAAGGAGGGAGAATGGGGCGGGGTGATGGAAGGAGGGAGAATGGGGCGGAGTGATGGAAAGCGGGAGAATGGGGCGGGGTGATGGAAGGAGGGAGAATGGGGCGGGGTGATGGAAAGTGGGAGAATGGGTCGGGGTGATGGAAAGCGGGAGAATGGGGCGGAGTGATGGAAAGCGGGAGAATGGGGCGGGGTGATGGAAAGCGGAATGGGGCGGGGTGATGGAAGGAGGGAGAATGGGGCGGGGTGATGGAAGAAGAAAGAAGGGGGCGGGGTGATGGAAAGTGGGAAAATGTGGCGGGGTGATGGAAAGCGGGAGAATGGGGCGGGGTGATGGAAAGCGGGAGAATGGGGCTGGGTGATGGAAAGCGGGAGAATGGGGCGGGGTGATGGAAAGCGGGAGAATGGGGCGGGGTGATGGAAGGAGGGAGAATGGGGCGGGGTGATGGAAAGCGGGAGATTAAGGCAGGGTGATGGAAAGCGGGAGAATGGGGCGGGGTGATGGAAGGAGGGAGAATGGGGCGGGGTGATGGAAAGCGGGAGAATGGGGCGGGGTGATGGAAAGCGGGAGAATGGGGCGGGGTGATGGAAAGCGGGAGAATGGGGCTGGGTGATGGAAAGCGGGAGAATGGGGCGAGGTGATGGAAAGCGGGAGAATGGGGCGGGTTGATGGAAGGAGGGAGAATGGGGCGGGGTGATAGAAAGCGGGAAAATGTGGCGGGGTGATGGAAAGCGGGAGAATGGGGTGGGATTATGGGAAGCGGGAGAAAGGGGCGGGGTGATGGAAAGCGGGAGAATGGGGCGGGGTGATGGAAGGAGGGAGAATGGGGCGGGGTGATGGAAGGAGGGAGAATGGGGCGGGGTGATGGAAAGCGGGAGAATGGGGCGGGGTGATGGAAGGAGGGAGAATGGGGCGGGGTGATGGAAAGCGGGAGAATGGGGCGGGGTGATGGAAAGCGGGAGAATGGGGCGGGGTGATGGAAAGCGGGAGAATGGGGCTGGGTGATGGAAAGCGGGAGAATGGGGCGAGGTGATGGAAAGCGGGAGAATGGGGCGGGGTGATGGAAGGAGGGAGAATGGGGCGGGTTGATGGAAAGCGGGAGATTGGGGCAGGGTGATGGAAAGCGGGAGAATGGGGCGGGGTGATGGAAAGCGGAAAAAAAGGGGCGGGGTGATGGAAAGCGGGAGAATGGGGCTAAGTGATGGAAAGCGGGAGAATGGGGCGGGGTGATGGAAAGCGGGAGAATGGGGCGGGGTGATGGAAGGAGGGAGAATGAGGCGGGGTGATGGAGGAAGGGAGAATGGGGCGGGGTGATGGAAAGTGGGAGAATGGGTCGGGGTGATGGAAAGCGGGAGAATGGGGCGGAGTGATGGAAAGCGGGAGAATGGGGCGGGGTGATGGAAAGCGGGAGAATGGGGCGGGGTGATGGAAAGCGGGAGAATGGGTCGGGGTGATGGAAAGCGGGAGAAAGGTGCAGGGTGATGGACAGCGGGAGAATGGGGCGGGCTGATGGAAAGCGGGAGAATGGGGCGGGGTGATGGAAGGAGGGAGAATGGGGCGGGGTGATGGAAGAAGAAAGAAGGGGGCGGGGTGATGGAAAGTGGGAAAATGTGGCGGGGTGATGGAAAGCGGGAGAATTGGGTGGGGTTATGGGAAGCGGGAGAATGAGGCGGGGTGATGGAAAGCGGGAGAATGGGGCGGGGTGATGGAATGAGGGAGAATGGGGCGGGGTGATGGAAGGAGAGAGAATGGGGCGGGGTGATGGAAAGCGGGAGAATGGGGCGGGGTGATGGAAGGAGGAAGAATGGGGCGGGGTGATGGAAAGCGGGAGAATGGGGCGGGGTGATGGAAACCGGGAGAATGGGGCGGGGTGATGGAAAGCGAGAGAATGGGGCGGGGTGATGGAAGGAGGGAGAATGGGGAGGGGTGATGGAAAGCGGGGGAATGGGGCGGGATGATGGGAAGCGGAAGAATGGGGCGGGGTGATGGAAAGCGGGAGAATGGGGCGGGGTGATGGAAAGCGGGAGAATGGGGCGGGGAGATGGAAAGCAGGAGAAAGGGGAGGGGTGATGGAAAGCGGGAGAATGGGGCGGGCTGATGGAAAGCGGGAGAATGGGGCGGGGTGATGGAAGGAGGGAGAATGGGGCGGGGTGATGGAAGGAGAGAGAAGGGGGCGGCGTGATGGAAAGTGGGAGAATGTGGCGGGTGATGGAAAGCGGGAGAATGGGGTGGGGTTATGGGAAGTGGGAGAATGGGGCGGGGTGATGGAAAGCGGGAGAATGGGGCGGGGTGATGGAAGGAGGGAGAAAAAGGGGCGGGGTGATGGAAGGAGGGAGAATGGGGCGGAGTGATGGAAAGCGGGAGAATGGGGCGGGGTGATGGAAGGAGGGAGAATGGGGCGGGATGATGGAAAGCGGGAGAATGGGGCGGGGTGATGGAAAGCGGGAGAATGGGGCGGGGTGATGAAAAGCGGGAGAATGGGGCGGGGTGATGGAAATCGGGAGAATGGGGCGGAGTGATGGAAAGCGGGGTGATGGAAGGAGGGAAAATGGGGCGGGGTGATAGAAAGCGGGAGAATGTGGCGGGGTGATGGAAAGCGGGAGAAGGGGGTGGGGTTATGGGAAGCGGGAGAACAGGGCGGGGTGATGGAAAGCGGGAGAATGGGGCGGGGTGATGGAAGGAGGGAGAATGGGGCGGGGTGATGGAAAGCGGGAGAATGGGGCGGGGTGATGCAAAGCGGGAGAATGGGGCGGGGTGATGGAAGGAGGGAGAATGGGGCGGGGTGATGGAAAGCGGGAGAATGGGGCGGGGTGATGGAAAGCGGGAGAATGGGGCGGGATGATGGAAAGCGGGAGAATGGGGCTGGGTGATGGAAAGCGGGAGAATGGAGCGGGGTGATGGAAAGCGGGAGAATGGGGCGGGGTGATGGAAGGAGGGAGAATGGGGTGGGGTGATGGAAAGCGGGAGATTGGGGCAGGGTGATGGAAAGCGGGAGAATGGGGCGGGGTGATGGAAGGAGGGAGAATGGGGCGGGGTGATGGAAAGCGGGAGATTGGGGCAGGGTGATGGAAAGCGGGAGAATGGGGCGGGGTGATGGAAAGCGGAAAAATGGGGCGGGTGATGGAAAGCGGGAGAATGGGGCTAAGTGATGGAAAGCGGGAGAATGGGGCGGGGTGATGGAAAGCGGGTGAATGGGGCGGGGTGATGGAAAGCGGGAGAATGGGGCGGGGTGATGGAAAGCGGGAGAAAGGGGCGGGGTGATGGAAAGCGGGAGAATGGGCCGGGCTGATGGAATGTGGGAGAATGGGGCGGGGTGATGGAAGGAGGGAGAATGGGGCGGGGTGATGGAAGGAGAGAGAAGGGGGCGGGGTGATGGAAAGTGGGAAAATGTGGCGGGGTGATGGAAAGCGGGAGAATGGGGTGGGGTTATGGGAAGCGGGAGAATGGGGCGGGGTGATGGAAAGCGGGAGAATGGGGCGGGGTGATGGAATGAGGGAGAATGGGGCGGGGTGATGGAAGGAGTGAGAATGGGGCGGAGTGATGGAAAGCGGGAGAATGGGGCGGGGTGATGGAAGGAGGGAGAATGGGGCGGGATGATGGAAAGCGGGAGAATGGGGCGGGTTGATGGAAAGCGGGAGAATGGGGCGGGGTGATGGAAAGCGGGAGAATCAGGCGGGGTGATGGAAATCGGGAGAATGGGGCGGGGTGATGGAAAGCGGGAGAATGGGGCGGGGTGTTGGAAGGAGGGAGAATGGGGCGGGGTGATAGAAAGCAGGAGAATGTAGCGGGGTGACGGAAAGCGGGAGAAGGGGGTGGGGTCATGGGAAGCGGGTGAATGGGGCGGGGTGATGGAAAGCGGGAGAATAGGGCGGGGTGATGGAAGGAGGGAGAATGGGGCGGGGTGATGGAAGGAGGGAGAATGGGGCGTGGTGATGGAAAGCGGGAGAATGGGGCGGGGTGATGGAAGGAGGGAGAATGGGGCGGGGTGATGGAAAGAGGGAGAATGGGGCGGGGTGATGGAAAGCGGGAGAATGGGGCGGGGTGATGGAAAGCGGGAGAATTGGGCGGGGTGATGGAAAGCGGGAGAACGGGGCGGGGTGATGGAGAGCGGGAGAATGGGGCGGGGTGATGGAAAGCGGGGGAATGAGGCGGGGTGATAGAAAGCGGGAGAATGGGGCGGGGTGATGGAAAGCGGGAGAATGGGGCGGAGTGATGGAAAGCGGGAGAATGGGGCGAGGTGATGGAAGGAGGGAGAATGGGACGGGGTGATAGAAGGTGGGAGGATGGGGTGGGGTGATGGAAAGCGGGAGAATGGGGCGGGGTGATGGAAAGCGGGAGAATGGGGCGGGGTGGTGGAAAGCAGGAGAATGGGGCGGGGTGATGGAAAGCAGGAGAATGGGGCGGGGTGATGGAAAACGGGAAAATGGGGTGGGGTGATGGAAGGAAGGAGAATGGGGCAGGGTGATGGAAGGAAGGAGAATGGGCCGAGGTGATGGAAGGAGGGAGAATGGGGTGGGGTGATGGAAAGAGGGAGATTGGGGCGGGGTGATGGAAAGCGGGAGAATGGGGCGGGGTGATGGAAAGCGGGAGAATGGGGCGGGGTGATGGAAAGCGGGAGAATGGGGCGGGGTGATGGAAAGCGGGAGAATGGTGCGGGGTGATGGAAAGCGGGAGAATGGGTCGGGGTGAAGGAAAGCGGGAGAATGGGGCGGGATGATGGAAAGCGGGAGAATGAGGCGGGGTGGTGGAAAGTGGGATTATGGGGCGGGGTGATGGAAAGCGGGAGAATGAGGCGGGGTGGTGGAAAGCGGGAGAATGGGGCGGGTGATGGAAAACGGGAGAATGGGGCGGAGTGATGCAAAGCGAGAGAATGGGGCGGGGTGATGGAAAGCGGGAGAATTGGGCGGGGTGATTGAAGGAGGGAGAATGGGGCGGGGTGATGGAAGGAGGTAGAATGGGGAGGGGTGATGGAACGCGGGAGAATCAGACGGGGTGATGGAAAGCGGGAGAATGGAGCGGGGTGATGGAAAGCGGGAGAATGGGGCGAGGTGATGGAAGGCGGGAGAATGGGGCGGGGTGATGGAAGGAGGGAGAATGGGGCGGGTTGATGGAAAGCGGGAGAATGGTGCGGGGTGATGGAAAGTGGGAGAATGGGGCGGGGTGATGAAAAGATGGAGAATGGGGTGGGGTGATGGAAAGCGGGAGAATGGGGAGGGGTGATGGAAAGCGAGAGAATGGGGCGGGGTGATGGAAGGAGGGGGAATGGGGCGGGGTGATGGAAAGCGGAAGAATTGTGCGGGGTGATGGAAAGCGGGAGAATGGGGCGGGGTGATGAAAAGATGGAGAATGGGGTGGGCTGATGGAAAGCGGGAGAATGGGCCGGGGTGATGGAAAGCGGGAGAATGGGGCGGGGTGATGGAAAGCGGGAGAATGGGGCGGGGTGATGGAACACGGGAGAATGGGGCGGGGTGATGGAAGGAGGGAGAATGGGGCGGGGTGATGGAAGGAGTGAGAATGGGGTGGGGTGATGGAAGGAGGGAGAATGGGACGGGGTGATGGAAAGCGGGATTATGGGGCGGGGTGATGGAAAGCGGGAGAATGAGGCGGGGTGGTGGAAAGCGGGAGAATGGGGCGGGTGATGGAAAACGGGAGAATGGGGCGGAGTGATGCAAAGCGGGAGAATGGGGCGGGGTGATGGAAAGCGGGAGAATTGGGCGGGGTGATCGAAGGAGGGAGAATGGGGCGGGGTGATGGAAGGAGGGAGAATCGGACGGGGTGATGGAAAGCGGGAGAATGGGGCGGGGTGATGGAAAGCGGGACAATGGGGTGGGGTGATGGAAAGCGGGAGAATGGGGCGGGGTGATGGAAAGCGGGAGAATGGGGCGGGGTGATGAAAAGATGGAGAATGGGGTGGGGTGATGGAAAGCGGGAGAATGGGGAGGGGTGATGGAAAGCGAGAGAATGGGGCGGGGTGATGGAAGGAGGGGGAATGGGGCGGGGTGATGGAAAGCGGAAGAATTGTGCGGGGTGATGGAAAGCGGGAGAATGGGGCGGGGTGATGAAAAGATGGAGAATGGGGTGGGCTGATGGAAAGCGGGAGAATGGGCCGGGGTGATGGAAAGCGGGAGAATGGGGCGGGGTGATGGAAAGCGGGAGAATGGGGCGGGGTGATGGAACACGGGAGAATGGGGCGGGGTGATGGAAGGAGGGAGAATGGGGCGGGGTGATGGAAGGAGTGAGAATGGGGCGGGGTGATGGAAGGAGGGAGAATGGGACGGGGTGATGGAAAGCGGGATTATGGGGCGGGGTGATGGAAAGCGGGAGAATGAGGCGGGGTGGTGGAAAGCGGGAGAATGGGGCGGGTGATGGAAAACGGGAGAATGGGGCGGAGTGATGCAAAGCGGGAGAATGGGGCGGGGTGATGGAAAGCGGGAGAATTGGGCGGGGTGATCGAAGGAGGGAGAATGGGGCGGGGTGATGGAAGGAGGGAGAATCGGACGGGGTGATGGAAAGCGGGACAATGGGGTGGGGTGATGGAAAGCGGGAGAATGGGGCGGGGTGATGGAAAGCGGGAGAATGGGCCGGGGTGATGGAAGGAGGGAGAATGGGGCGGGGTGATGGAAAGCGGGAGAGTGGGACGGGGTGATGGAAATCGGGAGAATGGGGAGGGGTGATGGGAGGAGGAAGAATGGGGCGGGGTGGTGGAAGGAGGGAGAATGGGGCGGGGTGATAGAAAGCGGGAGAATGGGGCGGGGAGATCGATAGCGGGAGAATGGGGCGGGGTGATGGAAAGCGGGAGAATGGGGCGGGGTGATGGAAAGCGGGAGAATGGGGCGGGGTGATGGAAGGAGGGAGAATGGGGCGGGGTGATGGAAGGAGGGAGAATGGGGCGGGGTGATGGAAAGCGGGAGAATGGGGCGGGGTGATCGGTAGCGGGAGAATGGGGCGGGGTGATGGAAAGCGGGAGAATGGGGCAGGGTGATGGAAAGCGGGAGAATGGGCGGGGTGATGGAAAGCGGGAAAATGGGGCGGGGTGATGGAAAGCGGGAGAATGGGGCGGGGTGATGGAAAGCGGGAGAATGGGGCGGGGTGATGGAAAGCGGGAGAATGGGGCGGGGTGATGGAAAGCGGGAGTATGGGGCGGGGTGATGGAAAGTTGGAGAATGGGGTGGGGTGATGGAAAGCGGGAGAATGGGGCGGGGTGATGGAAGGTGGGAGGATGGGGCGGGGTGATGGAAAGCGGGAGAATGGGGCGGGGTGGTGGAAAGCGGGAGAATGTGGCGGGGTGATGGAAGCCAGGGAAATGGGGCGGGGTGATGTAAGGAGGGAGAATGGGGCGGGGTGATAGAAGGAGGGAGAATGGAGCGGGGTGATGGAAGGAGGGAGAATGGGGCGGGGTGATGGAAAGCGGGAGAATGGGGCGGGGTGATGGAAAGCGGGAGAATGGGGTGGGGTGATGGAAAGCGGGAGAATGGGGCGGGGTGATGGAAAGCGGGAGAATGGGGCGGGATGATGGAAAGCGGGAGAATGGGACGGGTTGATGGAAAGCGGGAGAATAGGGCGGGGTGATGGAAAGCGGGAGAATGGGGCGCGGTGATGGAAAGCGGGAGAATGGGGCGGGGTAATGGAAAGCGGGAGAATGGGGCGGGGTGATGGAAGGGAGGAGAATGGGGCGCGGTGATGGAAAGCGGGAGAATGGGTTGGGGTTATGGAAAGCGGGAGAATAGGGCGGGATGATGGAAAGCGGGAGAATGGGCCGGGGTGATGGAAAGTGGAGGAATGGGGCGGGGTGATGGAAGGCGGGAGAATGGTGCGGGGTGATGGAAGGAGGGATAGGCGCCGCTAAAGATAGGCGCCCTAGAGATAGGCGCCCCAAGAGATAGGCGCCCATAGAGATAGGCGCCCATAGAGATAGGCGCCCAAAGAGATAGTCGCCTATCGAGATAGGCGCCCCTAGAGATTGGCGCCCATAGAGATATGCGCCCCTAGAGATAGCCGCCCCTAGAGATAGGCACCCCTAGAGATAGGCGCCCCTAGAGATAGGCGCTTCTCGGGAAAGACGCCCCTAGAGATACGTGGCCCTAGAGATTGGCGCCCTTAGAGATAGGCGCCCCTAGAGATAGGCGCCCATAGAGATAGGCCGCCGCTAGAGATAGGCGCCCCTAGAGATAGGCGCCCCTAGAGATAGGCGCCCATAGAGATAGGCGCCCATAGACATAGGCGCCCCCAGAGATAGGCACCCATAGAGATAAGCGCCCACAGAGATAGGCGCCCCATAGAGATAGGCACCCCTAGAGATAGGCGCCCATAGAGATAGGCGCCCATAGAGATAGGCGCCCATAGAGATAGGCGCCCATAGAGATAGGCGCCCCAAGAGATAGGCGCCCCTAGAGATAGGCGCCCATAGAGATAGGCGCCCAAAGAGATAGCCGCCCATAGAGATTGGCGCCCCTAGAGATAGGCGCCCATAGAGATAGGTGCCCCTAGAGATAGCCGCCCCTAGAGATAGGCACCCCTAGAGATAGGCGCCCTTAGAGATAGGCGCCCCTGGAGATAGGCGCCCCTAGAGATAGGTGCCCCTAGAGGTAGGCGCCCCTAGAGATGGGCGACCATAGAGATAGGGGCCTCTAGAGATTGGCGCCCCTAAAGAGAGGCGCCCATAGAGATAGGCGCCCATAGAGATAGGCACCCCTAGAGATAGGCGCCCCTTGAGATAGACGCCCATAGAGATAGCCGCCCCTAGAGATAGGCGCCCATTGAGATAGGCGCCCATAGAGATAGGTGTCCCTAGAGATTGGCGCCCATAGAGATATGCGCCCCTATAGATAGGCGCTCCTAGAGATAGGCACCCCTAGAGATAGGCGCCCCTAGAGATAGGCGCCCCTAGAGATAGGCGCCCATAGAGATAGGCGCCCATAGAGATAGGCGCCCATAGAGATAGGCGCCCATAGAGATAGGCGCCCATAGAGATAGGCGCCCATAGAGATAGGCGCCCATAGAGATAGGCGCCCCTAGAGATAGGCGCCCCTAGAGATAGGCGCCCATAGAGATAGGCGCCCATAGAGATAGGCGCCCAAATAGATAGGCGCCCATAGAGATAGGCGCCCATAGAGATAGGCGCCCATAGAGATAGGCGCCCATAGAGATAGGTGCCCCTAGAGATTGGCGCCCATAGAGATATGCGCCCATAGAGATAGGCGCCCACAGAGATAGGCGCCCCTAGAGATTGGCGCCCATAGAGATATGCGCCCCTAGAGATAGGCGCTCCTAGAGATAGGCGCCCCTAGAGATAGGCGCCCATAGAGATAGGCGCCCATAGAGATAGGCGCCCATAGAGATAGGCACCCATAGAGATAGGCGCCCATAGAGATAGGCGCCCCTAGAGATAGGCGCCCATAGAGATAGGCGCCCATAGAGATATGCGCCCCTAGAGATAGGCGCCCCTAGAGATAGGCGCCCCTAGAGATAGGCGCCCCTAGAGATAGGCGCCCATAGAGATAGGCGCCACTAGAGATAGGCGCCCCTAGAGATAGGCGCCCATAGAGATAGGCGCCCATAGAGATAGGCGCCCCTAGAGATAGGCGCCCCTAGAGATAGGCGCTCCTAGAGATAGGGGCCCCTAGAGATAGGCGCCCATAGAGATAGGCGGCCATAGAGATAGGCGCCCCTAGAGATAGGCGCCCCTAGAGATAGGCGCCCATAGAGATAGGCGCCCATAAAGAGGGGCGCCCATAGAGATAGGCGCCCATAGAGATAGGCGCCCCTAGAGATAGGCGCCCCTAGAGATAGGCGCCCATAGAGATAGGTGCCCCTAGAGATAGGCGCCCCTAGAGATAGGCGCCCCTAGAGATAGGCGCCCCTAGAGATAGGCGCCCCTAGAGATAGGCGGCCATAGAGATAGGCGCCCCTAGAGATAGGCGCCCATAGATATAGGCGCCCATAGAGATAGGCGCCCCTAGAGATAGGCGGCCATAGAGATAGGCGCCCCTAGAGATAGGCGCCCATAGATATAGGCGCCCATAGAGATAGGCGCCCCTAGTGATAGGCGGCCATAGAGATAGGCGCCCCTAGAGATAGGCGCCCATAGAGATAGGCGCCCATAGAGATAGGCGCCCATAGAGATAGGCGGCCATAGAGAAAGGCGCCCATAGAGATAGGCGCCCCTAGAGATAGGCGGCCATATTGATAGGCGCCCCTAGAGATAGGCGCCCATAGAGATAGGCGCCCATAGAGATAGGCGCCCATAGATATAGGCGCCCCTAGAGATAGGCTCACCTAGAGATAGGCGCCCATAGAGATAGGCGCCCAGAGAGATAGGCGCCCCTAGAGATAGGCGCCCCTAGAGATAGGCGCCCATAGAGATAGGCGCCCCTAGAGATAGGCGCCCCTAGAGATAGGCGCCCCTAGAGATAGGCGCCCCTAGAGATAGGCTCACCTAGGAGCGCCTTTCTCTATGGGCGCCTATCTCTATGTGCGCCTATCTCTATGGGCGCCTATCTCTATGGGCGCCTATCTCTAGGGGCGCCTATCTCTAGGGGCGCCTATCTCTAGGGGCGCCTATCTCTATGGGCGCCTATCTCTAGGGGCGCCTATCTCTAGGGGCGCCTATCTCTATGGGCGCCTATCTCTATGGGCGCCTATCTCTAGGGGCGCCTATCTCTCTGGGCGCCTATCTCTATGGGCGCCTATCTCTAGGTGAGCCTATCTCTAGGGGCGCCTATATCTATGGGCGCCTATCTCTATGGGCGCCTATCTCTATGGGCGCCTATCTCTAGGGGCGCCTATCAATATGGCCGCCTATCTCTAGGGGCGCCTATCTCTATGGGCGCCTTTCTCTATGGCCGCCTATCTCTATGGGCGCCTATCTCTATGGGCGCCTATCTCTATGGGCGCCTATCTCTAGGGGCGCCTATCTCTATGGCCGCCTATCACTAGGGGCGCCTATCTCTATGGGCGCCTATATCTATGGGCGCCTATCTCTAGGGGCGCCTATCTCTATGGCCGCCTATCTCTAGGGGCGCCTATCTCTATGGGCGCCTATATCTATGGGCGCCTATCTCTAGGGGCGCCTATCTCTATGGCCGCCTATCTCTAGGGGCGCCTATCTCTAGGGGCGCCTATCTCTAGGGGCGCCTATCTCTAGGGGCGCCTATCTCTAGGGGCACCTATCTCTATGGGCGCCTATCTCTAGGGGCGCCTATCTCTAGGGGCGCCTATCTCTATGGGCGCCTATCTCTATGGGCGCCCCTCTTTATGGGCGCCTATCTCTATGGGCGCCTATCTCTAGGGGCGCCTATCTCTAGGGGCGCCTATCTCTATGGCCGCCTATCTCTATGGGCGCCTATCTCTAGGGGCGCCTATCTCTAGGAGCGCCTATCTCTAGGGGCGCCTATCTCTAGGGGCGCCTATCTCTATGGGCGCCTATCTCTATGGGCGCCTATCTCTAGGGGCGCCTATCTCTAGTGGCGCCTATCTCTATGGGCGCCTATCTCTAGGGGCGCCTATCTCTAGGGGCGCCTATCTCTAGGGGCGCCTATCTCTAGGGGCGCATATCTCTATGGGCGCCTATCTCTATGGGCGCCTATCTCTAGGGGCGCCTATCTCTAGGGGCGCCTATCTCTAGGGGCGCATATCTCTAGGGGCGCCTATCTCTAGGGGCGCCTATCTCTATGGGCGCCTATCTCTATGGGCGCCTATCTCTATGGGCGCCTATCTCTATGGGCGCCTATCTCTATGGGCGCCTATCTCTATGGGCGCCTATCTCTAGGGGCGCCTATCTCTAGGGGCGCCTATCTCTAGGGGCGCCTATCTCTATGGGCGCCTATCTCTAGGGGCGCCTATCTCTATGGCCGCCTATCTCTAGGGGCGCCTATCTCTAGGGGCGCCTATCTCTAGGGGCGCCTATCTCTAGGGGCGCCTATCTCTATGGGCGCCTATCTATATAGGCGCCTATCTCTAGGGGCGCCTATCTCTAGGGGCGCCTATCTCTATGGCCGCCTATCTCTATGGGCGCCTATCTCTATGGGCGCCTATCTCTATGGGCGCCTATCTCTAGGGGCGCCTATCTCTAGGGGCGCCTATCTCTAGGGGCGCCTATCTCTATGGGCGCCTATCTCTAGGGGCACCTATCTCTATGGGCGCCTATCTCTATGGGCGCCTATCTCTAGGGGCGCCTTTCTCTAGGAGCGCCTATCTCTATGGGCGCCTATCTCTATGGGCGCCTATCTCTAGGGGCGCCTATCTCTATGGGCGCCTATCTCTAGGGGCGCCTATCTCTATGGGCGCCTATCTCTATGGGCGCCTATCTCTATGGGCGCCTATCTCTATGGGCGCCTATCTCTAGGGGCGCCTATCTCTAGGGGCGCCTATCTCTAGGGGCGCCTATCTATGCCTCTATGGGCGCCTATCTCTATGGGCGCCTATCTCTATGGGCGCCTATCTCTATGGGCGCCTATCTCTATGGGCGCCTATCTCTATGGGCGCCTATCTCTATGGGCGCCTATCTCTATGGGCGCCTATCTCTATGGGCGCCTATCTCTAGGGGCGCCTATCTCTAGGGGCGCCTATCTCTATGGGCGCCTATCTCTATGGGCGCCTATCTCTATGGGCGCCTATCTCTAGGGCCGCCTATCTCTAGGGCCGCCTATCTCTAGGGGCGCCTATCTCTAGGGGCGCCTATCTCTATGGGCGCCTATCTCTATGGGCGCCTATCTCTAGGTGAGCCTATCTCTAGGGGCGCCTATCTCTATGGGCGCCTATTTCTATGGGCGCCTATCTCTAGGGGCGCCTATCTCTAGGGGCGCCTATCTCTAGGGGCGCCTATCTCTATGGGCGCCTATCTCTATGGGCGCCTATCTCTAGGGCCGCCTATCTCTAGGGCCGCCTATCTCTAGGGGCGCCTATCTCTAGGGGCGCCTATCTCTATGGGCGCCTATCTCTATGGGCGCCTATCTCTAGGTGAGCCTATCTCTAGGGGCGCCTATCTCTATGGGCGCCTATTTCTATGGGCGCCTATCTCTAGGGGCGCCTATCTCTAGGGGCGCCTATCTCTAGGGGCGCCTATCTCTATGGGCGCCTATCTCTATGGGCGCCTATCTCTAGGGGCGCCTATCTCTAGGGGCGCCTATCTCTAGGGGCGCCTATCTCTAGGGGCGCATATCTCTATGGGAGCTTATCTCTAGGGGCGCCTATCTCTATGGGCGCCTATCTCTAAGGGCGCCTATCTCTATGGGCGCCTATCTCTATGGGTGCCTATCTCTATGGGCGCCTATCTCTATGGCCGCCTATCTCTAGGGCCGCCTATCTCTAGGGCCGCCTATCTCTAGGGGCGCCTATCTCTAGGGGCGCCTATCTCTATGGGCGCCTATCTCTATGGGCGCCTATCTCTAGGTGAGCCTATCTCTAGGGGCGCCTATCTCTATGGGCGCCCATAGAGATAGGCGCCCATAGAGATAGGCACCCCTAGAGACAGGCGCCCATAGAGATAGGCGCCCATAGAGATAGGCGCCCATAGAGATAGGCGCCCATAGAGATAGGCGCCCATAGAGATAGGCGGCCATAGAGATAGGCGCCCATAGAGATAGGCACCCATAGAGATAGGCGCCCATAGAGATAGGCGCCCTTAGAGATAGGCGCCCATAGAGATAGGCGCCCCTAGAGATAGGCGCCACTAGAGATAGGCGCCTCTAGAGATAGGCGCCCATAGAGATAGGCACCCCTAGAGACAGGCGCCCATAGAGATAGGCGCCCATAGAGATAGGCGCACATAGAGATAGGCGCCCATAGAGATAGGCGCCCATAGAGATAGGCGCCCATAGAGATAGGCGCCCATAGAGATAGGCACCCATAGAGATAGGCGCCCATAGAGATAAGCGCCCCTAGAGATAGGCGCCCCTAGAGATAGGCGCCCATAGAGATAGGCGCCCCTAGAGATAGGCGCCACTAGAGATAGGCGCCCCTAGAGATAGGCGCCCATAGAGATAGGCACCCCTAGAGACAGGCGCCCATAGCGATAGGCGCCCATAGAGATAGGCGCCCATAGAGATAGGCGCCCATAGAGATAGGCACCCATGGAGATAGGCGCCCATAGAGATAGGCGCCCATAGAGATAGGCGCCCATAGAGATAGGCGCCCCTAGAGATACGCGCCCATAGAGATAGGCGCCCATAGAGATAGGCGCCTATAGAGATAGGTGCCCCTAGAGATTGGCGCCCATAGAGATATGCGCCCCTAGAGATAGGCGCCCCTAGAGATAGGTGCCCCTAGAGATAGGCGCCCATAGAGATAGGCGCCCCTAGAGATAGGCGCCACTAGAGATAGGCGCCCCTAGAGATAGGCGTCCATAGAGATAGGAACCCCTAGAGATAGGCGCCCATAGAGATAGGCGCCCATAGGGATAGGCGCCCAAAGAGATAGGCGCCCATAGAGATAGGCGCCCATAGAGATAGGCGCCCATAGAGATAGGCGCCCATAGAGATAGGCGCCCATAGAGATAGGCGCCCATAGAGATAGGCGCCCATAGAGATAGGCGCCCCTAGAGATAGGCGCCCATAGAGATATGCGCCCCTAGAGATAGGCGCCCCTAGAGATAGGCGCCCCTAGAGATAGGCGCCCCTAGAGATAGGCGCCCATAGAGATAGGCGCCCATAGAGAAAGGCGCCCAAATAGATAGGCGCCCATAGAGATAGGCGCCCATAGAGATAGGCGCCCATAGAGATAGGCGCCCATAGAGATAGGTGCCCCTAGAGATTGGCGCCCATAGAGATATGCGCCCATAGAGATAGGCGCCCAAATAGATAGGCGCCCAAAGAGATAGGCGCCCATAGAGATAGGCGCCCATAGAGATAGGCGCCCATAGAGATAGGTGCCCCTAGAGATTGGCGACCATAGAGATATGCGCCCCTAGAGATAGGCGCTCATAGAGATAGGCGCCCCTAGAGATAGGCGCCCCTAGAGATAGGCGCCCATAGAATTAGGCGCCCCTAGAGATAGGCACCACTAGAGATAGGCGCCCCTGGAGATAGGCGCCCATAGAGATAGGCACCCCTAGAGATAGGCACCGATAGAGATAGGCGCCCATACAGATAGGCGCCCATAGAGATAGGCGCCCATAGAGATAGCCGCCCCTAGAGATAGGCGCCCATAGAGATAGGCGCCCATAGAGATAGGCGCCCATAGAGATAGGCACCCATAGAGATAGGCGCCCATAGAGATAGGCGCCCTTAGAGATAGGCGCCCATAGAGATAGGCGCCCCTAGAGATAGGCGCCACTAGAGATAGGCGCCTCTAGAGATAGGCGCCCATAGAGATAGGCACCCCTAGAGACAGGCGCCCATAGAGATAGGCGCCCATAGAGATAGGCGGACATAGAGATAGGCGCCCATAGAGATAGGCGCCCATAGAGATAGGCGCCCATAGAGATAGGCGCCCATAGAGATAGGCACCCATAGAGATAGGTGCCCATAGAGATAGGCGCCCCTAGAGATAGGCGCCCCTAGAGATAGGCGCCCATAGAGATAGGCGCCCCTAGAGATAGGCGCCACTAGAGATAGGCGCCCCTAGAGATAGGCGCCCATAGAGATAGGCACCCCTAGAGACAGGCGCCCATAGCGATAGGCGCCCATAGAGATAGGCGCCCATAGAGATAGGCGCCCATAGAGATAGGCACCCATGGAGATAGGCGCCCATAGAGATAGGCGCCCATAGAGATAGGCGCCCATAGAGATAGGCGCCCCTAGAGATACGCGCCCATAGAGATAGGCGCCCATAGAGATAGGCGCCTATAGAGATAGGTGCCCCTAGAGATTGGCGCCCATAGAGATATGCGCCCCTAGAGATAGGCGCCCCTAGAGATAGGTGCCCCTAGAGATAGGCGCCCATAGAGATAGGCGCCCCTAGAGATAGGCGCCACTAGAGATAGGCGCCCCTAGAGATAGGCGTCCATAGAGATAGGAACCCCTAGAGATAGGCGCCCATAGAGATAGGCGCCCATAGGGATAGGCGCCCAAAGAGATAGGCGCCCATAGAGATAGGCGCCCATAGAGATAGGCGCCCATAGAGATAGGCGCCCATAGAGATAGGCGCCCATAGAGATAGGCGCCCATAGAGATAGGCGCCCATAGAGATAGGCGCCCCTAGAGATAGGCGCCCATAGAGATATGCGCCCCTAGAGATAGGCGCCCCTAGAGATAGGCGCCCCTAGAGATAGGCGCCCCTAGAGATAGGCGCCCATAGAGATAGGCGCCCATAGAGATAGGCGCCCCTAGAGATAGGAGCCCCTAGAGATAGGCGCCCATAGAGATAGGCGCCCATAGAGAAAGGCGCCCAAATAGATAGGCGCCCATAGAGATAGGCGCCCATAGAGATAGGCGCCTATAGAGATAGGCGCCCATAGAGATAGGTGCCCCTAGAGATTGGCGCCCATAGAGATATGCGCCCATAGAGATAGGCGCCCAAATAGATAGGCGCCCAAAGAGATAGGCGCCCATAGAGATAGGCGCCCATAGAGATAGGCGCCCATAGAGATAGGTGCCCCTAGAGATTGGCGCCCATAGAGATATGCGCCCCTAGAGATAGGCGCTCATAGAGATAGGCGCCCCTAGAGATAGGCGCCCCTAGAGATAGGCGCCCATAGAATTAGGCGCCCCTAGAGATAGGCGCCACTAGAGATAGGCGCCCCTGGAGATAGGCGCCCATAGAGATAGGCACCCCTAGAGATAGGCACCGATAGAGATAGGCGCCCATACAGATAGGCGCCCATAGAGATAGGCGCCCATAGAGATAGCCGCCCCTAGAGATAGGCGCCCATAGAGATAGGCGCCCATAGAGATAGGTGCCCTTAGAGATTGGCGCCCATAGAGATATGCGCCCCTAGAGATAGGCGCTCCTAGAGATAGGTGCCCCTAGAGATAGGCTCCCCTAGAGATAGGCGCCCATAGAGATAGGCGCCCCTAGAGATAGGCGCCACTAGAGATAGGCGCCCCTAGAGATAGGCGCCCATAGGGATAGGCACCCCTAGAGACAGGCGCCCATAGAGATAGGCGCCCATAGAGACAGGCGCCCATAAAGATAGGCGCCCATAGAGATAGGCGCCCATAGAGATAGGCGCCCATAGAGATAGGCGCCCATAGAGATAGGCACCCATAGAGATAGGCGCCCATAGAGATAGGCGCCCCTAGAGATAGGCGCCCATAGAGATAGGTGCCCCTAGAGATAGGCGCCACTAGAGATAGGCGCCCCTAGAGATAGGCGCCCATAGAGATAGGCACCCCTAGAGACAGGCGCCCATAGAGATAGTGTGAAACTAACTGAACAGGAATGAATTGACTAAGTCAGAGTTGGGTACAAATACAACCCTAGCAAACTGTACCCCATATGTGCTACCCCACTATAGCCTACAAACATGCATCAGCTATAATAATCTGACACACCCCCATAGGCAAAGTGGGGGAGAACAAGGGGTCACAAGACCAGTCAAGCAAAGCAAAGCAAGCTCAGGGTGAATCACAAAGTCACCACACAGTCCGAGCACAAGAGCAAGGCCAGAGGCCAGTTCACATGCAAGAGTACAGACATATATATAAAACTAGACAAGCAAGAGCAGGTATATATATGTCAAAGTACAAGTAAAGTCAAGAAGAGAGCAAGTGAGGCAAGACAGGTACAAGACCCAGCTGGGTACAAAAGCGCTGATGGTCGCAAGGCGCAAGTGCCTTGGTGAACACATCAGCATTGTTGGCCTCAGAGGCCACGTAAGCAAGTCGCAACTGACCACGCTGCTGCAGCTCACGAGCAAGGAAGTAGCGGAGAGCAATGTGCTTCGTTCTGTGCTCCAAGCGCTGCTCTCGACACAAGGCCAACATGGCCTTGTTGTCTACGTACAGCACTGGAGGAGAACGAGGCAGCTCTCCAAGGTCAGTCAGCAGGTAGGTGAGCCAGCGAAGCTCCTGTGCAGCCATGGCCCCGGCGTAGATCTCAGCCTCACAACTGGAGCCGAGAACCGAAGACGAGCGAGTAGACCGCCACGAGACAGAGCCGGAACCAAGGCTGAAGGTGTAACCCTGTGACGACCGCTGCGTAGCCTGGTCGTCAGCCCAAGAAGCGTCTGCGTGCCCAGTAAGGACCACTGGACTCCGCCCTCCAAGCACTAGCCCCATGCCCGACGTACTGCACAGGTAGCGCAATACCCTCTTCGCTGCAGCCATGTGCTCTGGTCGGTGTCTCCCAGGAGCAACATAGCGTGCAAGGATGCTCAGAGGGTATGCAAGGTCAGGTCGTGTGCAGGTCATCAGGTACATGAGGCAGCCAACAAGCTCTGCATACGGACCACTCGACTCTACGGACTCATCCGAAGGCAGAGCTGAGAGTGAGTGGCGAGTAGGCAGAGGAGTGGCCTGAGGCGAGGAGTACGTGAAGCCGAAGCGCTGAAGGACCTGCTGCACCATGTGTGACTGAGTCAGGGTAATGGTGCGGCGTGCTCTGTCCCGAGTGATCTGCAAGCCAAGGTAGCTGCGCAGTTCACCCAGGTCTGTGCACGTGTGTCTCTTCAGCAGCTCGGACTTCACGTAGGCGAGTCCAGCAGTGTCCGCTGTGGCAAAGACCAAGTCGTCGACGTACACGAGGATGTAGAACGGCGGCAGGGAAGTGTCGGTGCGAAGAAACAGCGACGGGTCAGCAGTAGAAGGAGCAAACCCAAGAGCCGCAAGCGTAGTCCTCAGTGTGTCGTGCCACTCACGCGGTGCCTGGCGGAGACCGTAGACTGGCCGTCGGAGGCTCCACTGGGTGCCAGGAGGGAAAGTCCCAGTGAAGCCAGGCGGACGGCGCAGCAAGATCTCCTCGTGCAGGCTACCCTGCAGGAACGCAGTGCTGAAGTCGAGAGAGTGAAGCTCGTAGTCGCGCTGAGCGGCAATGTGCAGCAGCACCCGAAGAGTGGTCATCTTCGGGGTGGGAGAGAAGGTCTGAAAGTAGTCAACTCCCTGCCGCTGACTGAAGCCACGAGCCACGTAACGCGCCTTGAAGACAGGCGGCGAGCCCGGCGGCCGCTTCACCCTGAAGATCCACATGCCACTGACGATGTTCGCCCCAGGAGGGGGAACCGCGTCAACGTAGGTGCCTGTGGACTTCCAGGAAGCCATCTCTGCATCCATAGCTGCCTGCCACTGAGAGGAGTAGGGACCCTCTACGGCCTCCGCGTAAGAACGCGGAGTCGGGATGTCTAGTGCATCCGGGTCTCCCTCAGGGGCTAGCAGTACAGACGCGAGACGAGGTGAAGCAGCGGCTAGGCACTGGAACTCCTCCTGCCTGTCCTCTAGGACGTCCGTGCCAAGGGCACACTCACCCCCGACGGACGGAGGACAGGCGGACTCAGACTCAGCGACAAGACGAGCAGCGTAGTCTAGACGACAGCGCGCAGCAAAGTCGACAAGCTCAGTGACAAGGGCAGACGCAGCAGACGACTCGAAGGAAGGGTCAGTGACAGCAGTAGCAAGGAGACGCGTGACAGTAGGACTGGCAGCACGAAGAGAGTCCGACTCCGGGTCGGCAAGAGCAGGAAGAGAGGAAGCAGGAGGAGAAGGCAAAGGGGCACGCAGAGGAGCAGTGGACGGACGCAGTGACATCCGGTGCGTGCCAGGGACAGGAGGAGGACGCTGACGCGACCCGCGACCACTAGCGCGCTCAGTACGAACAGGCGACGCAGGACGAGACGCAGGCTCACGACGCTCAGTAAGGCCTCCAGTCGGACCAGCGTAGGGAGAAGGAGCATGCAAAGGGGAGGCAGGCTCTAGCTGTGGCTGTGACCTGACGGCAGAGTCAGCATCAGCAGGCGGGGCAGGGACAGCGCCAGAGACAAAGTCAAAGAGAGAGACCTCATCTACCGCATCACACAGTAAGTACAGCTGCAGGTCCTCGATCCAGACGGCAAAGTCAATGGCCCTCCCCTCAGCGTCAAAAGTGAGAACATTGGGGGTGGCCATGGCAGCAGCTGAAAGTCTCACCGGGATGGGAGAGTCGGGTAGGTCAGCAGCAGGCGGCTCGGGCTGCTCGGGCGGCTCGGGCGGCTCGGGCGGCTCGGGCGTCTCGGGTACCGGGCGGCTCGGCTGCTGCTGGGCGGCTCGGCTGCTGCTGGGCGGTTCGGCTGCTGCTGGGCGGCTGGGCTGCTGCTGGGCGGCTCGGCTGCCGCTGGGCGGCTCGGCTGCGGCTGGGCGGCTCGGCTGCTGCTGGGCGGCTCGGCGGGGCCGTCAGGGTGCAGCTGCGGGGCCGGGACAGGGGACGGTGGGGCCGTCAGGGTGCAGCGGCGGGGCCGGGACAGGGGACGGCGGAGCCGTCAGGTGGCGGGCCAGCAGGCGAGGTGGCGAGCCGTCAGGTGAGGCGGCGGGGCCGTCAGGTCAGGTGGCGGGCCAGCGGGTGAGGCGGCGGGCCGTCAGGTGAGGTGGCGGGCCAGCAGGTTAGGCGGCGGGCCGTCAGGTGAGGCGGCGGGGCCGTCAGGTCAGGTGGCGGGCCAGTAGGTGAGGCGGCGGGCCGTCAGGTGAGGCGGCGGGGCCGTCATGTAAGGTGGCGGCGGGCCGTCAGGTGAGGCGGCGGGGCCGTCAGGTAAGGTGGCGGGCCAGCAGGTGAGACGGTGGGCCGTCAGGTGAGGCGGGGGGGCCGTCTGGTGAGGTGGCGGGCCAGAAGTCGAGGCGGCGGGCCGTCAGGTGAGGCGGCGGCCGTCAGGTAAGGCGGCTGCGGGGCCGACAGAGGTGCAGCGGGGGGGGGGGGCCTGCTGCAGCGACGAAGAGGCCGCGCGGCCGTCTTGAGGGCGGCGCGGCGCGGCAGAGCCGAGAGGGCGGCGCGGCGCGGCTGTAAGGGCCGCGCGAAGTGGGGCCTGAACCGCGCGCGCGAAAAAAAATGAGTCGCGCGCGCGACTCTCGGTGCGCCACAAGGGCAGCTCGACGCGCACTAGGGGGAGCGCGCCTCGGGGAGAATAGGGCGCGCTCCGGGCAGGAAAAAAAAAAAAATCGTGGGTGGGCCCAAAGAACGGTCCTTAGGAGGGACCCGCTCTATACCATGTGAAACTAACTGAACAAGAATGAATTGACTAAGTCAGAGTTGGGTACAAATACAACCCTAGCAAACTGTACCCCATATGTGCTACCCCACTATAGCCTACAAACATGCATCAGCTATAATAATCTGACAGATAGGCGCCCATAGAGATAGGCGCCCATAGAGATAGGCGCCCATAGAGATAGGCGCCCATAGAGATAGGCGCCCATAGAGATAGGCGCCCATAGAGATAGGAGCCCATAGAGATAGGCACCCATAGAGATAGGCGCCCATAGAGATAGGCGCCCCAAGAGATAGGCGCCCCTAGAGATAGGCGCCCATAGAGATAGGCGCCCCTAGAGATAGGCGCCACTAGAGATAGGCGCCCCTAGAGATAGGCGCCCATAGAGATAGGCACCCCTAGAGACAGGCGCCCATAGCGATAGGCGCCCATAGAGATAGGCGCCCATAGAGATAGGCGCCCATAGAGATAGGCACCCATAGAGATAGGCGCCCATAGAGATAGGCGCCCATAGAGATAGGCGCCCCTAGAGATAGGCGCCCATAGAGATAGGCGCCCATAGAGATAGGCGCCTATAGAGATAGGTGCCCCTAGAGATTGGCGCCCATAGAGATATGCGCCCCTAGAGATAGGCGCTCCTAGAGATAGGCGCCCCTAGAGATAGGTGCCCCTAGAGATAGGCGCCCATAGAGATAGGCGCCCCTAGAGATAGGCACCACAAGAGATAGGCGCCCCTAGAGATAGGCGTCCATAGAGATAGGAACCCCTAGAGATAGACGCCCATAGAGATAGGCGCCCATAGGGATAGGCGCCCATAGAGATAGGCGCCCATAGAGATAGGCGCCCATAGAGATAGGCGCCCATAGAGATAGGCGCCCATAGAGATAGGCGCCCATAGAGATAGGCGCCCATAGAGATAGGCGCCCCTAGAGATAGGCGCCCATAGAGATATGCGCCCCTAGAGATAGGCGCCCCTAGAGATAGGCGCCCCTAGAGATAGGCGCCCCTAGAGATAGGCGCCCATAGAGATAGGCGCCACTAGAGATAGGCGCCCCTAGAGATAGGCGCCCATAGAGATAGGCGCCCATAGAGATAGGCGCCCCTAGAGATAGGCGCCCCTAGAGATAGGCGCTCCTAGAGATAGGCGCCCCTAGAGTTAGGCGCCCATAGAGATAGGCGGCCATAGAGATAGGCGCCCCTAGAGATAGGCGCCCCTAGAGATAGGCGCCCATAGAGATAGGCGCCCATAAAGAGGGGCGCCCATAGAGATAGGCGCCCATAGAGATAGGCGCCCCTAGAGATAGGCGCCCCTAGAGATAGGCGCCCATAGAGATAGGTGCCCCTAGAGATAGGCGCCCCTAGAGATAGGCACCCCTAGAGATAGGCGCCCCTAGAGATAGGGGCGCCTATCTAGATAGGCGCCCCTAGAGATAGGCGCCCCTAGAGATAGGCGGCCATAGAGATAGGCGCCCCTAGAGATAGGCGCCCATAGATATAGGCGCCCATAGAGATAGGCGCCCCTAGAGATAGGCGGCCATAGAGATAGGCGCCCCTAGAGATAGGCGCCCATAGATATAGGCGCCCATAGAGATAGGCGCCCCTAGAGATAGGCGGCCATAGAGATAGGCGCCCCTAGAGATAGGCGCCCATAGAGATAGGCGCCCATAGAGATAGGCGCCCATAGAGATAGGCGCCCATAGGGATAGGCGCCCATAGAGATAGGCGCCCATAGAGATAGGCGCCCATAGAGATAGGCGCCCATAGAGATAGGCGCCCATAGAGATAGGCGCCCATAGAGATAGGCGCCCATAGAGATAGGCGCCCATAGAGATAGGCGCCCATAGAGATAGGCGCCCATAGAGATAGGCACCCATAGAGATAGGCGCCCATAGAGATAGGCGCCCCAAGAGATAGGCGCCCCTAGAGATAGGCGCCCATAGAGATAGGCGCCCCTAGAGATAGGCGCCACTAGAGATAGGCGCCCCTAGAGATAGGCGCCCATAGAGATAGGCACCCCTAGAGACAGGCGCCCATAGCGATAGGCGCCCATAGAGATAGGCGCCCATAGAGATAGGCGCCCATAGAGATAGGCACCCATAGAGATAGGCGCCCATAGAGATAGGCGCCCATAGAGATAGGCGCCCATAGAGATAGGCGCCCCTAGAGATAGGCGCCCATAGGGATAGGCGCCCATAGAGATAGGCGCCTATAGAGATAGGTGCCCCTAGAGATTGGCGCCCATAGAGATCTGCGCCCCTAGAGATAGGCGCTCCTAGAGATAGGCGCCCCTAGAGATAGGTGCCCCTAGAGATAGGCGCCCATAGAGATAGGCGCCCCTAGAGATAGGCACCACAAGAGATAGGCGCCCCTAGAGATAGGCGTCCATAGAGATAGGAACCCCTAGAGATAGGCGCCCATAGAGATAGGCGCCCATAGGGATAGGCGCCCATAGAGATAGGCGCCCATAGAGATAGGCGCCCATAGAGATAGGCGCCCATAGAGATAGGCGCCCATAGAGATAGGCGCCCATAGAGATAGGCGCCCATAGAGATAGGCGCCCCTAGAGATAGGCGCCCATAGAGATATGCGCCCCTAGAGATAGGCGCCCCTAGAGATAGGCGCCCCTAGAGATAGGCGCCCCTAGAGATAGGCGCCCATCGAGATAGGCGCCACTAGAGATAGGCGCCCCTAGAGATAGGCGCCCATAGAGATAGGCGCCCATAGAGATAGGCGCCCCTAGAGATAGGCGCCCCTAGAGATAGGCGCTCCTAGAGATAGGCGCCCCTAGAGATAGGCGCCCATAGAGATAGGCGGCCATAGAGATAGGCGCCCCTAGAGATAGGCGCCCCTAGAGATAGGCGCCCATAGAGATAGGCGCCCATAAAGAGGGGCGCCCATAGAGATAGGCGCCCATAGACATAGGCGCCCCTAGAGATAGGCGCCCCTAGAGATAGGCGCCCATAGAGATAGGTGCCCCTAGAGATAGGCGCCCCTAGAGATAGGCGCCCCTAGAGATAGGCGCCCCTAGAGATAGGGGCGCCTATCTAGATAGGCGCCCCTAGAGATAGGCGCCCATAGAGATAGGCGCCCATAGAGATAGGCGCCCCTAGAGATAGGCGCCCATAGAGATAGGCGCCCCTAGAGATAGGCGCCCATAGAGATAGGCGCCTATAGAGATAGGCGCTCCTAGAGAAAGGCGCCCCTAGAGATAGGCGCCCATAGAGATAGGCGCCCATAGAGATAGGCGCCCCTAGAGATAGGCGCCCATAGAGATAGGCGCCCCTAGAGATAGGCGCCCCTAGAGATAGGCGCCCCTAGAGATAGGGGCCCATAGAGATAGGCGCCCATAGAGATAGGCGCCCATAGAGATAGGCGGCCATAGAGATAGGCGCCCCTAGAGATAGGCGCCCCTAGAGATAGGCGCCTATATAGATAGGCGCCCATAGAGATAGGCGCCCCTAGAGATAGGCGCCCCTAGAGATAGGCGCCCCTAGAGATAGGCGCCCCTAGAGATAGGCGGCCATAGAGATAGGCGCCCCTAGAGATAGGCGCCCATAGAGATAGGCGCCCCTAGAGATAGGCGCCCCTAGAGATAGGCGCCCCTAGAGATAGGCGCCCATAGAGATAGGCGCCCATAGAGATAGGCGCCCATAGAGATAGGCGCCCCTAGAGATAGGCGCCCCTAGAGATAGGCGCCCATAGAGATAGGCGCCCCTAGAGATAGGCGCCCCTAGAGATAGGCGCCCCTAGAGATAGGCGCCCATAGAGATAGGCGCCCATAGAGATAGGCGCACATAGAGATAGGCGCCCATAGAGAAAGGCGCTCCTAGGTGAGCCTATCTCTAGGGGTGCCTATCTCTAGGGGCGCCTATCTCTAGGGGCGCCTATCTCTAGGGGCGCCTATCTCTATGGGCGCCTATCTCTAGCGGCGCCTATCTCTAGGGGCGCCTATCTCTCTGGGCGCCTATCTCTATGGGCGCCTATCTCTAGGTGAGCCTATCTCTAGGGGCGCCTATTTCTATGGGCGCCTATCTATATAGGCGCCTATCTCTAGAGGCGCCTATATCTATGGGCGCCTATCTCTATGGGCGCCTATCTCTATGGGCGCCTATATCTAGGGGCGCCTATCAATTTGGCCGCCTATCTCTAGGGGCGCCTATCTCTATGGGCGCCTATCTCTATGGCCGCCTATCTCTATGGGCGCCTATCTCTATGGGCGCCTATCTCTATGGGCGCCTATCTCTAGGGGCGCCTATCTCTATGGCCGCCTATCTCTAGGGGCGCCTATCTCTATGGGCGCCTATATCTATGGGCGCCTATCTCTAGGGGCGCCTATCTCTATGGCCGCCTATCTCTAGGGGCTCCTATCTCTATGGGCGCCTATATCTATGGGCGCCTATCTCTAGGGGCGCCTATCTCTATGGCCGCCTATCTCTAGGGGCGCCTATCTCTAGGGGCGCCTATCTAGATAGGCGCCCCTATCTCTAGGGGCGCCTATCTCTAGGGGCGCCTATCTCTAGGGGCGCCTATCTCTAGGGGCACCTATCTCTAGGGGCGCCTATCTCTAGGGGCGCCTATCTCTAGGGGCGCCTATCTCTATGGGCGCCTATCTCTATGGGCGCCTATCTCTAGGGGCGCCTATCTCTATGGGCGCCTATCTCTATGGGCGCCTATCTCTATGGGCGCCTATCTCTATGGGCGCCTATCTCTATGGGCGCCTATCTCTAGGGGCGCCTATCTCTATGGGCGCCTATCTCTATGGCCGCCTATCTCTATGGGCGCCTATCTCTATGGGCGCCTATCTCTATGGGCGCCTATCTCTAGGGGCGCCTATCTCTAGGGGCGCCTATCTCTAGGGGCGCCTATCTCTATGGGCGCCTATCTCTAGGGGCGCCTATCTCTATGGGCGCCTATCTCTATGGGCGCCTATCTCTAGGGGCGCCTTTCTCTAGGAGCGCCTATCTCTATGGGCGCCTATCTCTATGGGCGCCTATCTCTAGGGGCGCCTATCTCTATGGGCGCCTATCTCTAGGGGCGCCTATCTCTATGGGCGCCTATCTCTATGGGCGCCTATCTCTATGGGCGCCTATCTCTATCGGCGCCTATCTCTAGGGGCGCCTATCTCTATGGGCGCCTATCTCTATGGGCGCCTATCTCTATGGGCGCCTATCTCTATGGGCGCCTATCTCTATGGGCGCCTATCTCTAGGGGCGCCTATCTCTAGGGGTGCCTATCTCTAGGGGCGCCTATCTCTAGGGGCGCCTATCTCTAGGTGCGCCTATCTCTAGGGGCGCCTATCTCTAGGGGTGCCTATCTCTAGGGGCGCCTATCTCTATGGGCGCCTATCTCTATGGGCGCCTATATCTATGGGCGCCTATCTCTAGGGGCGCCTATCTCTAGGGGCGCCTATCTCTAGGGGCGCCTATCTCTATGGGCGCCTATCTCTATGGCCGCCTATCTCTATGGGCGCCTATCTCTATGGGCGCCTATCTCTAGGGGCGGCTATCTCTAGGGGCGCCTATCTCTAGGGAACCTATTTCTAGGGGCGGCTATCTCTAGGGGCGCCTATCTCTATGGGCGCCTATCTCTAGGGGCGCCTGTCTCTATGGGCGCCTATCTCTAGGGGCGCCTATCTCTATTGGCGCCTATCTCTATGGGCGCCTATCTCTAGGGGCGCCTATCTCTAGGGGCGCCTATCTCTAGGGGCGCCTATCTCTAGGGCCGCCTATCTCTAGGGGCGCCTATCTCTATGGGCGCCTATCTCTATGGGCGACTATCTCTATGGGCGCCTATCTCTAGGGGCGCCTATCTCTATGGGCGCCTATCTCTAGGGGCGCCTATCTCTAGGGGCGCCTATCTCTATGGGCGCCTATCTCTATGGGCGCCTATCTCTATGGGCGCCTATCTCTAGGGGCGCCTATCTCTAGGGGCGCCTATCTCTAGGGGCGCCTATCTCTATGGGCGCCTATCTCTAGGGGCGCCTATCTCTATGGCCGCCTATCTCTAGGGGCGCCTATCTCTAGGGGCGCCTATCTCTAGGGGCGCCTATCTCTAGGGGCGCCTATCTCTATGGGCGCCTATCTATATAGGCGCCTATCTCTAGGGGCGCCTATCTCTAGGGGCGCCTATCTCTATGGCCGCCTATCTCTATGGGCGCCTATCTCTATGGGCGCCTATCTCTATGGGCCCCTATCTCTAGGGGCGCCTATCTCTAGGGGCGCCTATCTCTAGGGGCGCCTATCTCTATGGGCGCCTATCTCTAGGGCCGCCTATCTCTAGGGGCGCCTATCTCTATGGGCGCCTATCTCTATGGGCGACTATCTCTATGGGCGCCTATCTCTAGGGGCGCCTATCTCTATGGGCGCCTATCTCTAGGGGCGCCTATCTCTAGGGGCGCCTATCTCTATGGGCGCCTATCTCTATGGGCGCCTATCTCTATGGGCGCCTATCTCTAGGGGCGCCTATCTCTAGGGGCGCCTATCTCTAGGGGCGCCTATCTCTATGGGCGCCTATCTCTAGGGGCGCCTATCTCTATGGCCGCCTATCTCTAGGGGCGCCTATCTCTAGGGGCGCCTATCTCTAGGGGCGCCTATCTCTAGGGGCGCCTATCTCTATGGGCGCCTATCTATATAGGCGCCTATCTCTAGGGGCGCCTATCTCTAGGGGCGCCTATCTCTATGGCCGCCTATCTCTATGGGCGCCTATCTCTATGGGCGCCTATCTCTATGGGCCCCTATCTCTAGGGGCGCCTATCTCTAGGGGCGCCTATCTCTAGGGGCGCCTATCTCTATGGGCGCCTATCTCTAGGGGCGCCTATCTCTATGGGCGCCTATCTCTATGGGCGCCTATCTCTAGGGGCGCCTTTCTCTAGGAGCGCCTATCTCTATAGGCGCCTATCTCTATGGGCGCCTATCTCTAGGGCCGCCTATCTCTAGGGGCGCCTATCTCTAGGGGCGCCTATCTCTATGGGCGCCTATCTCTAGGGGCGCCTATCTCTATGGGCGCCTATCTCTATGGGCGCCTATCTCTAGGGGCGCCTTTCTCTAGGAGCGCCTATCTCTATAGGCGCCTATCTCTATGGGCGCCTATCTCTAGGGCCGCCTATCTCTAGGGGCGCCTATCTCTATGGGCGCCTATCTCTATGGGCGACTATCTCTATGGGCGCCTATCTCTAGGGGCGCCTATCTCTATGGGCGCCTATCTCTAGGGGCGCCTATCTCTAGGGGCGCCTATCTCTATGGGCGCCTATCTCTATGGGCGCCTATCTCTATGGGCGCCTATCTCTAGGGGCGCCTATCTCTAGGGGCGCCTATCTCTAGGGGCGCCTATCTCTATGGGCGCCTATCTCTAGGGGCGCCTATCTCTATGGCCGCCTATCTCTAGGGGCGCCTATCTCTAGGGGCGCCTATCTCTAGGGGCGCCTATCTCTAGGGGCGCCTATCTCTATGGGCGCCTATCTATATAGGCGCCTATCTCTAGGGGCGCCTATCTCTAGGGGCGCCTATCTCTATGGCCGCCTATCTCTATGGGCGCCTATCTCTATGGGCGCCTATCTCTATGGGCCCCTATCTCTAGGGGCGCCTATCTCTAGGGGCGCCTATCTCTAGGGGCGCCTATCTCTATGGGCGCCTATCTCTAGGGGCGCCTATCTCTATGGGCGCCTATCTCTATGGGCGCCTATCTCTAGGGGCGCCTTTCTCTAGGAGCGCCTATCTCTATAGGCGCCTATCTCTATGGGCGCCTATCTCTAGGGGCGCCTATCTCTATGGGCGCCTATCTCTAGGGGCGCCTATCTCTATGGGCGCCTATATCTATGGGCGCCTATCTCTAGGGGCGCCTATCTCTAGGGGCGCCTATCTCTATGGCCGCCTATCTCTAGGGGCGCCTATCTCTATGGGCGCCTATCTCTATGGGCGCCTATGTCTATGGGCGCCTATCTCTAGGGGCGCCTATCTCTATGGGCGCCTATCTCTAGGGGCGCCTATCTCTATGGGCGCCTATCTCTAGGGGCGCCTATCTCTAGGTGAGCCTATCTCTAGGGGCGCCTATCTCTATGGGCGCCTATCTTTAGGGGCGCCTATCTCTAGGGGCGCCTATCTCTAGGGGCGCCTATCTCTACGGGCGCCTATCTCTAGGGGCGCCTATCTCTAGGGGCGCCTATCTCTACGGGCGCCTATCTCTAGGGGCGCCTATCTCTATGGGCGCCTACCTCTAGGGGCGCCTATCTCTATGGGCGCCTATCTCTAGGGGCGCCTATCTCTATGGGCGCCTATCTCTAGGGGCGCCTATCTCTATGGCTGCCTATCTCTATGGGCGCCTATCTCTATGGGCGCCTATATCTATGGGCGCCTATCTCTAGGGGCGCCTATCTCTATGGGCGCCTATCTCTATGGGCGCCTATCTCTAGGGGCGCCTATCTCTATGGGCGCCTATCTCTATGGGCGCCTATCTCTATGGGCGCCTATCTCTATGGGCGCCTATCTCTATGGGCGCCTATCTCTATGGGCGCCTATCTCTAGGGGCGCCTATCTCTATGGGCGCCTATCTCTATGGGCGCCTATCTCTATGGGCGCCTATCTCTATGGGCGCCTATCTCTATGGGCGCCTATCTCTATGGGCGCCTATCTCTAGGGGCGCCTATCTCTAGGGGTGCCTATCTCTAGGGGCGCCTATCTCTAGGGGCGCCTATCTCTAGGTGCGCCTATCTCTAGGGGCGCCTATCTCTAGGGGCGCCTATCTCTAGGGGCGCCTATCTCTATGGGCGCCTATCTCTATGGGCGCCTATATCTATGGGCGCCTATCTCTAGGGGCGCCTATCTCTAGGGGCGCCTATCTCTAGGGGCGCCTATCTCTATGGGCGCCTATCTCTATGGCCGCCTATCTCTATGGGCGCCTATCTCTATGGGCGCCTATCTCTAGGGGCGGCTATCTCTAGGGGTGCCTATCTCTAGGGAACCTATTTCTAGGGGCGGCTATCTCTAGGGGCGCCTATCTCTATGGGCGCCTATCTCTAGGGGCGCCTGTCTCTATGGGCGCCTATCTCTAGGGGCGCCTCTCTCTATTGGCGCCTATCTCTATGGGCGCCTATCTCTAGGGGCGCCTATCTCTAGGGGCGCCTATCTCTAGGGGCGCCTATCTCTAGGGCCGCCTATCTCTAGGGGCGCCTATCTCTATGGGCGCCTATCTCTATGGGCGACTATCTCTATGGGCGCCTATCTCTAGGGGCGCCTATCTCTATGGGCGCCTATCTCTATGGGCGCCTATATCTATGGGCGCCTATCTCTAGGGGCGCCTATCTCTAGGGGCGCCTATCTCTATGGCCGCCTATCTCTAGGGGCGCCTATCTCTATGGGCGCCTATCTCTATGGGCGCCTATGTCTATGGGCGCCTATCTCTAGGGGCGCCTATCTCTATGGGCGCCTATCTCTAGGGGCGCCTATCTCTATGGGCGCCTATCTCTAGGGGCGCCTATCTCTAGGTGAGCCTATCTCTAGGGGCGCCTATCTCTATGGGCGCCTATCTTTAGGGGCGCCTATCTCTAGGGGCGCCTATCTCTAGGGGCGCCTATCTCTACGGGCGCCTATCTCTAGGGGCGCCTATCTCTAGGGGCGCCTATCTCTACGGGCGCCTATCTCTAGGGGCGCCTATCTCTATGGGCGCCTACCTCTAGGGGCGCCTATCTCTATGGGCGCCTATCTCTAGGGGCGCCTATCTCTATGGGCGCCTATCTCTAGGGGCGCCTATCTCTATGGCTGCCTATCTCTATGGGCGCCTATCTCTATGGGCGCCTATATCTATGGGCGCCTATCTCTAGGGGCGCCTATCTCTATGGGCGCCTATCTCTATGGGCGCCTATCTCTAGGGGCGCCTATCTCTATGGGCGCCTATCTCTATGGGCGCCCCTAGAGATAGGCGCCCCTAGAGATAGGCGCCCCTAGAGATAGGCGCCCCTAGAGGTAGGGGCGCCCATAGAGATAGGCGCCCCTAGAGATAGGCGCCCATAGAGATAGGCGCCCATAGAGATAGGCGCCCATAGAGATAGGCGCCCATAGATATAGGCGCCCATAGAGATAGGCGCCCATAGAGATAGGCGCCCCTAGAGATAGGCGCCCATAGAGATAGGCGCCCATAGAGATAGGCGGCCCTAGAGATAGGCGCCCCTAGAGATAGGCGCCCCTAGAGATAGGCGCCCCTAGAGATAGGCGCCCCTAGAGATAGGCGCCCATAGAGATAGGCGCCCAAAGAGATAGGCGCCCATAGAGATAGGTGCCCCTAGAGATAGGCGCCCCTTGAGATAGGCGCCCATAGAGATAGGCGCCCATAGAGATAGGCGCCCATAGAGATAGGCGCCCATAGAGATAGGCGGCCATAGAGATAGGCGCCCCTAGAGATAGGCGCCCATAGAGATAGGCGCCCCTAGAGATAGGCGCCCATAGAGATAGGCGCCCCTAGAGGTAGGCGCCCATAGAGATAGGCGCCCCTAGAGATAGGCGCCCGTAGAGATAGGCGCCCCTAGAGATAGGCGCCCCTAGAGATAGGCGCCCGTAGAGATAGGCGCCCCTAGAGATAGGCGCCCCTAGAGATAGGCGCCCCTAAAGATAGGCGCCCATAGAGATAGGCGCCCCTAGAGATAGGCTCACCTAGAGATAGGCGCCCCTAGAGATAGGCGCCCATAGAGATAGGCGCCCCTAGAGATAGGCGCCCATAGAGATAGGCGCCCCTAGAGATAGGCGCCCATAGAGATAGGCGCCCATAGAGATAGGCGCCCCTAGAGATAGGCGCCCATAGATATAGGCGCCCATAGAGATAGGCGCCCATAGAGATAGGCGCCCCTAGAGGTAGGCGCCCATAGAGATAGGCGCCCCTAGAGATAGGCGCCCGTAGAGATAGGCGCCCCTAGAGATAGGCGCCCCTAGAGATAGGCGCCCGTAGAGATAGGCGCCCCTAGAGATAGGCGCCCCTAGAGATAGGCGCCCCTAAAGATAGGCGCCCATAGAGATAGGCGCCCCTAGAGATAGGCTCACCTAGAGATAGGCGCCCCTAGAGATAGGCGCCCATAGAGATAGGCGCCCCTAGAGATAGGCGCCCATAGAGATAGGCGCCCCTAGAGATAGGCGCCCATAGACATAGGCGCCCATAGAGATAGGCGCCCCTAGAGATAGGCGCCCATAGAGATAGGCGCCCATAGAGATAGGCGCCCATAGAGATAGGCGCCCATAGAGATAGGCGCCCCTAGAGATAGGCGCCCATAGAGATAGGCGCCCATAGAGATAGGCGGCCATAGAGATAGGCGCCCCTAGAGATAGGCGCTCCTAGAGATAGGCGCCCATAGAGATAGGCGCCCCTAGAGATAGGCGCCCATAGAGATAGGCGCCCATAGAGATAGGCGGCCATAGAGATAGGCGCCCCTAGAGATAGGCGCTCCTAGAGATAGGCGCCCATAGAGATAGGCGCCCCTAGAGATAGGCGCCCATAGAGATAGGCGCCCATAGAGATAGGCGCCCATAGAGATAGGCGCCCATAGAGATAGGCGCCCCTAGAGATAGGCGCCCATAGAGATAGGCGCCCATAGAGATAGGCGGCCATAGAGATAGGCGCCCCTAGAGATAGGCGCTCCTAGAGATAGGCGCCCATAGAGATAGGCGCCCCTAGAGATAGGCGCCCATAGAGATAGGCGCCCATAGAGATAGGCGCCCATAGAGATAGGCGCCCCTAGAGATAGGCGCCCCTAGAGATAGACGCCCCTAGAGATAGGCGCCCATAGAGATAGGCGCCCCTAGAGATAGGTGCCCCTAGAGATAGGCGCCCGTAGAGATAGGCGCCCATAGAGATAGGCGCCCCTAGAGATAGGCGCCCATAGAGATAGGCGCCCCTAGAGATAGGCGCCCATAGAGATAGGCGCCCATAGAGATAGGCGCCCCTAGAGATAGGCGCCCCTAGAGATAGGCGCCCCTAGAGATAGGCGCCCCTAGATATAGGCGCCCCTAGAGATAGGCGCCCCTAGAGATAGGTGCCCGTAGAGATAGGCGCCCATAGAGATAGGCGCCCCTAGAGATAGGCGCCCGTAGAGATAGGCGCCCATAGAGATAGGCGCCCATATAGATAGGCGCCCCAAGATATAGCTGCTCCTAGAGATAGGCGCCCCTAGAGATAGGCGCCCCTAGAGATAGGCGCCCATAGAGATAGGCGCCCCTAGAGATAGGCGCCCCTAGAGATAGGCGCCCCTAGAGATAGGCGCCCCTAGAGATAGGCGCCCCTAGAGATAGGCGCTCCTAGAGATAGGCGCCCCTAGAGATAGGCGCCCCTAGAGATAGGCGGCCATAGAGATAGGCGCCCCTAGAGATAGGCGGCCATAGAGATAGGCGCTCCTAGAGATAGGCGCTCCTAGAGATAGGCGCCCCTAGAGATAGGCGCCCATAGAGATAGGCGCCCCTAGAGATAGGCGCCCATAGAGATAGGCCCCCTTAGAGATAGGCGCCCATAGAGATAGGCGCCCTTAGAGATAGGCGCCCCTAGAGATAGGCGCCCATAGAGATAGGCGCCCATAGAGATAGGCGCCCATAGAGATAGGCGCCCCTAGAGATAGGCGCCCATAGAGATAGGCGGCCATAAAGATAGGCGCCCATAGAGATAGGCGCCCCTAGAGATAGGCGCCCCTAGAGATAGGCGCCCATAGAGATAGGCGCCCATAGAGAAAGGCGCCCCTAGAGATAGGCGCCCCTAGAGATAGGCGCCCCTAGAGATAGGCGCCCCTAGAGATAGGCGCCCCTAGAGATAGGCGCCCCTAGAGATAGGCGCCCCTAGAGATAGGCGGCCATAGAGATAGGCGCCCATAGAGATAGGCGCCCATAGAGATAGGCGCCCCTAGAGAAAGGCGGCCATAGAGATAGGCGCCCCTAGAGATAGGCGCCCATAGAGATAGGCGCCCCTAGAGATAGGCGCCCATAGAGATTGGCGCCCATAGAGATAGGCGCCCCTAGAGATAGGCGCCCCTAGAGATAGGCGCCCATAGAGATAGGCGCCCATAGAGATAGGCGGCCATAGAGATAGGCGCTCCTAGAGATAGGCGCTCCTAGAGATAGGCGCCCCTAGAGATAGGCGCCCCTAGAGATAGGCGCCCATAGAGATAGGCGCCCATAGAGATAGGCGCCCATAGAGATAGGCGCCCATAGAGATAGGCGCCCATAGAGATAGGCGGCCATAGAGATAGGCGCCCCTAGAGATAGGCGCCATAGAGATAGGCGCTCCTAGAGATAGGCGCTCCTAGAGATAGGCGCCCCTAGAGATAGGCGCCCATAGAGATAGGCGCCCCTAGAGATAGGCGCCCCTAGAGATAGGCGCCCCTAGAGATAGGCGCCCCTAGAGATAGGCGCCCCTAGAGATAGGCGCCCCTAGAGATAGGCGCCCCTAGAGATAGGCACCCCTAGAGATAGGCGCCCATAGAGATAGGCGCCCATAGAGATAGGCGCCCATAGAGATAGGCGCCCATAGAGATAGGCGCCCATAGAGATAGGCGGCCATAGAGATAGGCGCCCCTAGAGATAGGCGCCCCTAGAGATAGGCGCCCATAGAGATAGGCGCCCCTAGAGATAGGCGCCCCTAGAGATAGGCGCCCCTAGAGATAGGCGCCCCTAGAGATAGGCGCCCCTAGAGATAGGCGCCCCTAGAGATAGGCGCCCCTAGAGATAGGCACCCCTAGAGATAGGCGCCCATAGAGATAGGCGCCCATAGAGATAGGCGCCCATAGAGATAGGCGCCCATAGAGATAGGCGCCCATAGAGATAGGCGGCCATAGAGATAGGCGCCCCTAGAGATAGGCGCCCCTAGAGATAGGCGCCCATAGAGATAGGCGCCCCTAGAGATAGGCGCCCATAGAGATAGGCGCCCATAGAGAAAGGCGCCCGTAGAGATAGGCGCCCCTAGAGATAGGCGCCCCTAGAGATAGGCGCCCCTAGAGATAGGCGCCCCTAGAGATAGGCACCCCTAGAGATAGGCGCCCCTAGAGATAGGCACCCCTAGAGATAAGCGCTCATAGAGATAGGCGGCCATAGAGATAGGCGCTCCTAGAGATAGGCGCTCCTAGAGATAGGCGCCCCTAGAGATAGGCGCCCCTAGAGATAGGCGCCCATAGAGATAGGCGCCCATAGAGATAGGCGCCCGTAGAGATAGGCGCCCGTAGAGATAGGCGCCCGTAGAGATAGGCGCCCGTAGAGATAGGCGCCCGTAGAGATAGGCGCCCGTAGAGATAGGCGCCCGTAGAGATAGGCGCCCGTAGAGATAGGCGCCCATAGAGATAGGCGCCCCTAGAGATAGGCGCCCCTAGAGATAGGCGCCCATAGAGATAGGCGGCCATAAAGATAGGCGCCCATAGAGATAGGCGCCCCTAGAGATAGGCGCCCCTAGAGATAGGCGCCCATAGAGATAGGCGCCCATAGAGAAAGGCGCCCCTAGAGATAGGCGCCCCTAGAGATAGGCGCCCCTAGAGATAGGCGCCCCTAGAGATAGGCGCCCCTAGAGATAGGCGCCCCTAGAGATAGGCGCCCCTAGAGATAGGCGGCCATAGAGATAGGCGCCCATAGAGATAGGCGCCCATAGAGATAGGCGCCCCTATAGAAAGGCGGCCATAGAGATAGGCGCCCCTAGAGATAGGCGCCCATAGAGATAGGCGCCCCTAGAGATAGGCGCCCATAGAGATTGGCGCCCATAGAGATAGGCGCCCCTAGAGATAGGCGCCCCTAGAGATAGGCGCCCATAGAGATAGGCGCCCATAGAGATAGGCGGCCATAGAGATAGGCGCTCCTAGAGATAGGCGCTCCTAGAGATAGGCGCCCCTAGAGATAGGCGCCCCTAGAGATAGGCGCCCATAGAGATAGGCGCCCATAGAGATAGGCGCCCATAGAGATAGGCGCCCATAGAGATAGGCGCCCATAGAGATAGGCGCCCATAGAGATAGGCGCCATAGAGATAGGCGCCACTAGAGATAGGCGCCCATAGAGATAGGCGCCTCCTAGAGATAGGCGCTCCTAGAGATAGGCGCCCTAGAGATAGGCGCCCCTAGAGATAGGCGCCCCTAGAGATAGGCGCCCCTAGAGATAGGCGCCCCTAGAGATAGGCGCCCCTAGAGATAGGCGCCCCTAGAGATAGGCGCCCCTAGAGATAGGCGCCCCTAGAGATAGGCGCCCCTAGAGATAGGCGCCCATAGAGATAGGCGCCCATAGAGATAGGCGCCCATAGAGATAGGCGCCCATAGAGATAGGCGCCCATAGAGATAGGCGCCCATAGAGATAGGCGCCCTAGAGATAGGCGCCCCTAGAGATAGGCGCCCCTAGAGATAGGCGCCCCTAGAGATAGGCGCCCCTAGAGATAGGCGCCCCTAGAGATAGGCGCCCCTAGAGATAGGCGCCCCTAGAGATAGGCGCCCCTAGAGATAGGCGCCCCTAGAGATAGGCACCCATAGAGATAGGCGCCCATAGAGATAGGCGCCCATAGAGATAGGCGCCCATAGAGATAGGCGCCCATAGAGATAGGCGCCCATAGAGATAGGCGGCCATAGAGATAGGCGCCCCTAGAGATAGGCGCCCCTAGAGATAGGCGCCCATAGAGATAGGCGCCCCTAGAGATAGGCGCCCATAGAGATAGGCGCCCATAGAGAAAGGCGCCCCTAGAGATAGGCGCCCCTAGAGATAGGCGCCCCTAGAGATAGGCGCCCCTAGAGATAGGCGCCCCTAGAGATAGGCACCCCTAGAGATAGGCGCCCCTAGAGATAGGCACCCCTAGAGATAAGCGCTCATAGAGATAGGCGGCCATAGAGATAGGCGCTCCTAGAGATAGGCGCTCCTAGAGATAGGCGCCCCTAGAGATAGGCGCCCGTAGAGATAGGCCGCCGTAGAGATAGGCGCCCGTAGAGATAGGCGCCCCGTAGAGATAGGCGCCCCTAGAGATAGGCGCCCCTAGAGATAGGCGCCCATAGAGATAGGCGGCCATAAAGATAGGCGCCCATAGAGATAGGCGCCCCTAGAGATAGGCGCCCCTTAGAGATAGGCGCCCATAGAGATAGGCGCCCATAGAGAAAGGCGCCCCTAGAGATAGGCGCCCCTAGAGATAGGCGCCCCTAGAGATAGGCGCCCCTAGAGATAGGCGCCCCCTAGAGATAGGCGCCCCTAGAGATAGGCGCCCCTAGAGATAGGCGGCCATAGAGATAGGCGCCCATAGAGATAGGCGCCCATAGAGATAGGCGCCCCTATAGAAAGGCGGCCATAGAGATAGGCGCCCCTAGAGATAG